TTACAAGATGACAGGCTTCATCTTATATTTTGTATTTTTCTTGATAGGGGGAAGGGGGTGAGGGAGGAGAGTTAACACTAATTTGTATTGTTTCATCACAGAAAAAAATAAAATAATATGTATTAACCTGATGCCTGTAATTTTTTGAAGAGATGGGATTTTAAAATCATATCTTCCCAGTATAGCTTCCTGTACGAGCCGTTTTGGGGGTTTTCTGCATCCATCATGAGTTATCAAATACATTCTCCTTTTAACCCAGCACCTTCACCTCCTGCCCCTGAACTGATTGCTTTTCCAATACCACGGTTTGGAGGTCAGACCAAACGACTGACAGACCGACCGACTGAATACCTAAGTCCCCTCAGTCATCAAAGGTAAGTTTTAACTTAATTTGTTACATTTTGTATTCTTTTAGTATGAAATATTTTTTATGATTTTGACTGGCTTTAATGGGAATATGAAACTATATTGCCCAAATATAATCATATTGGCCGGGTTGAAGACGAGGGCAATATGGTTATGTTGAGGGCAATATTGTCTCATATCAACCAAAATGTGAGCCAGTCAATGTTATTAATATTAATTATTCACTTCTTATAATTCAAGTATCACTTATACATGTATCATACAAGTGCCCAGATGTGAAACGCATGGTAATATGCTCTTATATTACCCGCTGCTACATTACGCGTGTCTATGTGCGATAATTGCACGATAAATAATAATGAAAGATATTATACGCTTGACTAACTTTGAATATTGATCCTTATTTAGTGGTCTTTCTGAAATTTGATATAATAAAGTTTCTTTCAATCTGGCAGACTAGTACATGCTAGTACATTCATTGTTACTTACTGGGTTTATAACTTTCATCACAAATTTGTTGATAACCTGCAGATTTTATATCTTCTTTAGATAATATGAACATATCAATTCAATGATTGACAACAAATCCAGTAATACGTATAAAACCCTATAATATCATCTTCAGTGGTTGATAAATACTGTATAGATGTCCTTTACAATAGTACCATACAGAACAGGGAATATGCTGTCACAATTTTTTAAAACAATAAACCAATCCTCCCAACCTAAAATCGTTGAACACAGGTAAGACATTAATATTTTTAAATAGGAGTTATTCCAGTCTGATTTCCTACCAGGAGTTTAGTGCCACAATGTCACAAATTGCGTTTCAAGTGAATAAATTGCGCAACAGTATTTATAAAACAATGGCAAATGTGCTTTTCTACTCGGTGCATGGTTTGCCTTTTTTCTGTTAATAGAAGACCTTAAATTTATATTCCGATTTTCATTTATAATTACTGTTTATGTCAAAATATTAATTTAGGACAGAGTAAAAACACTTTTTATTTAATACCTGTTTCTAGGTATCATTCCTGTTTAATGAAATAAAATTCCTATGTCCTCTCTACTTATCATTGAATCAAGTTATTGATAACTTGATTGAATATTTTGTCAATTACCTCTTAGGATGGACAAAAATACAGAAGTTATTGTTAGGTGGGATCGTGATGGAGAGGTCAAGAAAAGAGATCTTCAATATAACGGAAGGCTTAGGATGGGTTCAAGAGTTACTATGAGCTAGATGGATGAGGACTGGACGGGGACTGCAACGCTGACAGAAGACTCTGACTCCAAATGTGCCTCCATTTAGAGATGTTGTGGTCTAGTGGATAAGTCGTTGAACTGTGGATCACAGGATCCATGGTTCAAGTCCCGCCACAGCACTAATGTCCTTTGGCAAGATATTAATCTACATTTGCCACTCTGCTGTGAGCGCCGAAAGCGGCTGCCTAGCAGAGCCAGGGTAATAGTTGGAGGCTTAATTGGAGCGCCTTGAGCATCATGAATGGTGGATATGTGTGCTATATAAATATCCAATATTATTATTATTCTTTCGACATTGACACTGACTCTACAGTGACAATCTTCCTCTTGCCTCACTAAGAACAGCACAGACTAAGGTCATCCATCATATGAAAGTTGCATGTAAGAAGTTTTAATCTTATAAACTTACAGTGTTGTATATATTTTAGAAGGATTTGGCATGTAGGACTAATATTAATTGCTAATAGTTCATATTTCAAAGTGCAATCCAACCTTTGTAACAAGTTGATTTATGTAAAAGCAGAAAAAATGAGTGAAATAGACTGGTGAAAGTGTGAAAGAAATCAGACATAGAATAAGAAATAATGTTTGAAAAGTTAGATTACAACATCTATGTAAATCTCAGATCGGCAATTTTATCAGGCAATAGGGACGTATGCAGCTGACAACTTTGTATGTCATACACAAAAAATATAAATAATTAATGATTTTCTGTTAAAGGTAATACAAAGTTCTGGAAATTTTGAAAATTGGGTTGATAGTGATTCTTTACAATTTTGATAGATTTGGATGCCCCTGTGGATGTATTAGAAGTACTAGAAAATTTAGCCCCTAAAACACTTCTGCTTTCGAGAAAATTTGAATATAAAAATTTACCGGTGCTCCCGGTAAATTTTGATAAAATTTCGAATAGCGACTACGGCCGTACAATGGTAGCTGCGACCCTGAACATCTCATAATATGTAGTTGTGATAAATAATTTCCAAACGGGAATAGCTAATTGGTCGATTTTAGTCAAGAAACATTGTTTTATAGCTTAATTAATATCTTGAACTTGAGAGGGAGCTATACAACATGAATAGTTTATTATCTAAAATTTCACAACTTTAGACTCGATTTCAACTGCGCCAATGATCACTGAATATTGTAGGATCGCAAATGCTTCCAATATGTTCATTTTGAACCAAATTCATGACCCCATACCAAAACTTTGTATTACCTTTAAGCTCCTCTTCCATTGTGGCAGTACTCAAAGTATATTGTAGATAGCATATTGTAACCCTCCCTCCAAGGCTCAAATTAATTTTTTGTCCACGGGGGCTCTTCCAAAAAAAAAGAGCCCCCGTGAACCTTCTCACAGGGGCTCTTTTAGTGCTGACGGGGGCTCTTATTTTGATACAAATTTCTATTGAATTTTTTTGGTGCTCACCCTCGTAAGTAATGTTTTCCTGGCATTTACTTACATGCAAAGCATTGTCCACGAGCCGCGAAGCGGCGAGGAGTTTTTTGGGTGCTTTTTTGAACCCCCGTTAGTGATGTTTTCCTGGCATCTACTGACATCTACTAATACTTTGTAGGTCTTGACACATGTTAGCCTTTTTCTATGCACATCACATTTTCACTTGGCAGCCCAAGGGGGAGGGGGGTTAAACCCCCTAAACCGCCTTGATCCGCCCCTGCATTGGTGATTTCCTTCTCAATATTGATTTACTGGTCGAGTTACATTATTTGCTGGTCTTTATAGCTGCACTGCGAGCTTCCGTTCTTTGTATCGGTAATACTCATAGAAATGGGATAGAAAGCGCCATCTCCTGTTCCATTTCATTGGTTAAAGGTTTGAAAATTGATACCCAATATTATGTTAAAGTTATATCAGAAAAGATAATCTTTATTTTATAATTCCACGGGGGCGATTTTTAGTTTTGCAATCGCCCCCGTGAACCATCTGACGGGGGCGATTGTTGAGCTCACGGGGGCGAATCGCCCTCGCTCCCGTGTATTTTGAGCGTTGCCTCCTTCCCCCTAACCCGGCAGTGGCCTTGTGAATTTGCATTTCAGAATTGTCCGAGAACACTGGTACCGCCCTTCCTTATAAAGCTACCATGTTGTATTTTTTGCCATGAGTGTGTGCTACAGTTAAATAAGTTTCAATTTTGATATTCAAACATGATTCATTATGATTTATCAATTTTGAATGATTGTACATGTAATTGTGAAATGAACTGTTAAAAAATGATTCCATTTATTTTGCAAAGAAATAAATGCAGTCATAACCAAGACGAAAGTATAAATCTTAAGATTTGATTGCTTTGTGCTATTTAATGTTTTATTCTTATTTAGTTAGATTTGTTTATGGGAGAAATGTGTCTGAGAGAGTAATGTACTAAAATGATGACTTATGTGACAACGAAAGAGGGGTTATTATTATTATTATTATTTATTTGAACAATCGGAAAACATACAGTGAGTATAACAATTAGATAATACATAGAAATATCTTAATACATACACACAGCTTTAGGGAAGTGGAGAGGAGAGAGAGAGAGAGAGAAGGATACAATCTGCTGGTCAGGGGTGACAAAAGCAATTGAAATTGCTATTACTCGAAAGCATGTCACCCCCACAGTCTGCACCCTGGAAAATCAAGAGTAAAGAACAGAATAAGAATTCACAATATGAGATAATAAACAAATATCAGGATAAAAATAATTGGAGCAATATATGCTTAATTACTTTCATTACATTAATTTGTCATTATAATGGCTTTACTTTCATCACATAAAACTACAGACTTTCAAATCAATAACATGGTACTTACATTAGAAACATTTGATATGATTATTATTGGGAAGGAAAGTTCCATAATAATATAAAATGCTTAACAATAATTTCTGACTTTCAAAATGAAATGAATAAAATTATAAACTGAAACCTAATATGTACAGAACGGAACGAAGAAATAAGCTTGCAATATTGATGATATTATTTCTAAGTGACAAACTAAACATAAATTAGTCAGTTATGATATAGGTGAGATGAATAATTAATCTTGGGGTTTCCAAAAAGGCACAGTAAAATTACATATCAGTTGCTTTTAAATGACGATCACATTTAGGAATTCATCGCACAAAAATTGAAAAATAAAAAGCTTTGCTTGAGAGCAATAGACAGAACTTGAAATCGGACACGAGTTTGAAAAATATTACCATTAATAATTATCAATACATTGTTTTACATTAAATTAAATGAGTTCAATGAACAATGATTAGAGATTGTTTTAGCGTTGAAAGGAAGGATGAAATAGAATTGAGTACAGCAGTATCTTTTATTACTGTGGGAAGGTTGTTCCAGTCTTGGAAAGCGGCGAGATGGAGAAAGAAAAAGTGCCTGTGTCCGAGAAGGAAGGTGACGGAATGTAAGGACCTCTTGCCGCCTGGATTTGATCTGGATGGATTCAGTAAGAGTCTCACAAAGGGTGAGACCACCGAGGCATTTGAAAGTGAATGAAAGAAGGAGATAGTCTCTCCTGGAAGATAAGCTTGACCAGTGGAGAGTAGTGCGTCTATCTTCATAGGACATGTCGCCTCTCTGTTGTTTAAGGGCAAGACGTGTAATAAACGACAAACGACAAAAAGAGAGATAAAGAAAGAGAGAGAGGGGGGGATGTTCTTGTTTGCATGAGAGAGCTAGAGAGAAAGTAATAATTGAGAAGAAATTGTACATAGTGCTTGGTGTGCCCCCCCCCCCAAACAAAAAGTATACAAATATGTTATTGATCATTGACAAAAATATTCAATTAAACTTAAATCACATATGAAGCAGGACAGTATACAATTTCCATAACGGGCATTCAGAGTCACTAACAAATTATTGCATTTCCTGCATTTCCTGCAAAGGGTTAAAGATGAATTTCTGGATGGGGCAGAGTGATGTGAGTCTTATATTGAATATAGTGCTGTGATTTCAAGGAGACAGAATCAGCTAGGTAAGACAAATATAGTTTTATGGGGGGGGGGTTCATATTTGAAAGATGCCTAATGTACATGGGAGGGGGATCTAAAATGGAAAGACATAGTTTTGTAATCATAAGAAGATATTTTTTATTTGAAGCTAAACACCTTTCAAAAAGAGTGTTTAGACTTCATACATTCTTAAATTTTATAGATACCCCGGCCCCATTAAGCTGTAACAGGCCCTATAAATTGTACCAAGTGCTACCACAATAAAAGCATTACATATCCTGCAATGGAATCATTTAAAAAGGATAAGCGCAGTTAGGTTATTTAAAACAAAATGATACAAAATTGTACCGTCTGAAGAAAGAAATCCTCTTTTTTCTTTCTTTTTTATTTGATTATTTATTTCTTTTCCCAGCATTCTCTTAATATTTATCTAATAATTTATTTTTGTCTTTATTTTGCCACCCTTTCCTTCTGAATGTCTCCTCTCCTCCTCCCCCCCCCCCCCTTAATCTCGAGTACACGGCCACGCAGCTAGCTAGTTTCTTTAACTTCTTCTTCTTCTTCTTCCTCCGCTCTATCGGAGATCAGCAGCTACCAGGGTACTGCAGTTTGTCATAGCAGGCAGGATTGTCATGTCAGGTAGAAAGTGTATTAGCGATTGCATTAGCACGAGCAGAGTGGATATTGTATAAAAATGACAGTAATGCATTAATAAGAAGGTTCTTTTGGTTAGGGCATACAGTTAGAACATTCGGAAGTAGGACTGCCCGCGGCCGCGTGAAGGTCTCGGGGTCATCTGGTATAGAGCGAGTGTCGACTGCTGTACGCGCCGCCCCTGTGTTGGAGATTGTCGACCAGCTTCTGGCGATGATGAAGATGGATGCCCGATCTGTATTTCTTGTTCTCACATTCAGCACATTTCATGCTGTTTCAGGTGAATATTATTAACTAGTTGAAATACACTTTTAATGGTCGATCGATCTTTATCTAACTTTTGATATGTTAAGTCTACCAGTTGCCGCTTAATCAAAGTTTAGATCACTAGTTTCTGGACTGAACCGATTCTTACATCGGTAACTCTCTCCGCCAATTTGGCCGAGTCGAGTGGAAGTAGGCCCGCCTGTGGCCCTGGCCGATCTGAAGGCAATGCGCTGTGCTGTTTGATGGGTGTCCAAAGTGTGTGCATGCTTAGTTAGGCCTAGATTCTAGTCTAAACCTAGGCCTAGACTATGTATTTAAAAAGAAAAATAGGAATGGTTTGGGCCTAGATCTATCCATGACTTCTCTGTTTTCTCATATTCTACAGAAATTTATTATTGATGACTACCAAACAAACCAAGCTATGCCTCCAAAAGAACCGTGCATCAATTTAAAATGCACATGACACCCCCTCTAGAGCGATGTCTGGACACCAATTCTGAGATTCTGAGATAGCAAACTTTTAGATTGCAGATGAGATGGGTACAAATAATTAATCGCCAAAGAAATGTTGGCGTTAATATTGAGAACTCAAAATTTGATGTTGCCTTGTTGGATCAGAATTAGACCGAAAATTTTAGGTCTAGGTCTAGATCTAGATCAGAATGTGCTACAAGTACAACTGAAGCAAAAATTAATTAAAACAATGAGTCCGTTATTCATGCCTAAGCCAAGAGTTTACAGTTGATTTATAAACAAAAAATGATCCATCACCATAAAAAAAACACAAAGGTTTTAGGACTAGACCCTAAGCCTAAGGAGTAAGGCAGGGCTGTCAACCCTCCCGTATGTGGAGGGAGTCTCACGCCACTACGCTCATTCTCCCGCCGTCCCAATAGCTCGTAGCAGGAAACTCCCGCCAGCACGCCTCTCCTCCCGCTCTCGTGCTTCGATGTAGAAACTCCCGGATTATGACGAAACCTCCCGCCAAAAACGGGACCCAAAACAAAAAATGTGTTCTTACCCCCCCCCCCCCCCTATTTATGACAGTTAGTCCTATTTGATGTATACTTTTGGTAAAACTAAAAGGCAAAAGTGTCTGCTTCTTTTTTGTTAAGCATCCGTAAAAATAACCCCCATCATCAGGGCTGTCAACACTCGGAAACTGCTTGGAGGGAGATTTTTTCTTCTGAGAAAAATTTTGCAACGACTCAGCCAGCCGCTGAATGAAGTGGAAAGGGGGGGGGGGGGGGGGGGGGAAGAGCACTTTTTTTTTTTTTTGGCAGGAGGTTTTTTCACATAAACCGGGAGATTCTACATCGTTGGCAGGAGAGCGGGAGGAGGGCGTGGTGGCGGGAATCTCCTGCTACAAGCTTTTGGGGTGGCGGGAGAATGAGCGTTGTGGCGTGAGACTCCATCCAAATGCGGGAGGGTTGACAGCCCTGCATCATTACCATTTTTTACTTTTTATTTTACAATTTATATCACATCTCTCAAAATGAAGATTTCCAGACCCTTTTCAGCGAGTTCATATTTTTTTCTGAAAAGATGCAAGAGGCCTTTTGTCAATATATATTCACAATGCCAACGAGAATTTCACCACTAGGTGATTTCATGTTTCTTTTCTGTTTTCTTTTTCTTGAAAAGTTTTTGCTCTGTATTGAAAGCATTCTATCTTTCAGATGTTCGAACAGGTCCATATAATCCTGATTGTGTTCCTATCTTCAGGTCTCAGTGTGAATGTTGGAAGTCATTGGACCGTAAACAGGACTCTAAGTGGACCTCTGATTATACAGGATCAAGAATTGGTAAGTCATCAATCTCTGAGTCCACTGGGTTAAACTGTTTAGACTACCAACTAAACTTTGCCTGTTAAACCTATGTACAAACTAGACTAGACCTAACTGATTGAACCGCACTCTTTAGTTTTAAGCAATGGGTTTCAAGTTTTGACTTCTAATCTGTATTAGAAGTAGAACCTGTTTAAATTGTTTGCATAATAATAGTTCAGAGATGCCTTCATCAATTTTCTGATGGAGAAAAATTCAGAGTGATTGTGTTGAGAAGCAATAGAGAAATCATGTGCTATCTAAGGTAGATTGTAACATACTTTGTCATTTTGTAACTATTGGTAAAACTGTGTGTGGAGACAAGATGGATCTAGATAGGTTGGCAATAGGGGTAAAAATCAATGCAGTGAAACATGTTTATGACAGCCATTCTAAGGATACATGTATGTTAGATATGACCCTTACAGGCTGGTGACCTTTATATGCAGGTGCAGGATTTGGATGTAAATCACTTTTTTTTGGTACAACAAACTATCCCCTAAACTTAACAGTGTGCATCTTTAAACAATTTTAAGCATAATCTAAAACTTCACCTGATGCAGAAAATTTGAATTTAACAAATGCAATTTTTTTTATGTGTGTAATTACCATTGTAGGCCTATTATTATATTTTTTTGTTTGTGTACATTTTTAGGATCATCTACCTATAAGTTTTTGTAACTTTTTTGATGATCCAACCAGTTTGTAATTTCCTTTCGTGTATTTTCCATTTTTATTGGTTTATCTATGTTTACAAGAAATTATTCAATTGTATTCTTTGCCTTTTTATGTTTTTATGAAAGTGGTGAATAAATTCAATTCAATTCAATATGGTAGAATTGTTCATTTCTGTACAGAAGCAAAATTGAAATACCACTTATTGCAGGGCTGCCAAACCCGTCTCACGCCACCACGCTCATTCTCCTGCCACATGCCTTCCTCCCACTCTCTTCCGTTTCGATGTAGAATCCCTGGTTTATGAAAAAACCTCCCGCCAAACACTAACAATAATATTTTTGTTGTTGTTGAATTTAACTCAACCCCCCCCCCCCCTTGAGCAAAACAAATGTTTGCATACGATCTCCCTCAAAGCAGTTCTCCAAACAGTTTGCTCTAATTTAAATACTGATAATTTCTTTTAAGAAACAAAGAAATGGTAACCAGCTTGACAAGTAGTATTTTAGATATGTTTGATTGTATGATTTTAATCTTGATATCTATCATTCATCCATCAGGTGGTGTACTATGAAATCAGTACAGATGTCCCTGCTGAGTCTGGTTCTGAGACTAATCAGGCTCTAGGTCATACATTTGTATCACTAGGACTAGTTCCTAGTCTAACCATCTGCAACAGTACCTGGTCTCAAACATTCTCCTTTGGGAAAGATTCATGGGTAAGTATTTTGAAAAATTGTAGGTGATATGAATTAATAAACAGTTTTGGGATTCACTAACATTTATCATGAAAGTCATTATTACATTTCCTTTACGTATTGAAATAATATAAGTTTTCTTTCATGGAAAGTATTATAAGATCCATCTTGGTATTAAATGACCCACACATATATAGGTTTACTACTTACATGTTTGTCCTACTTATCATATTTATAACATTGCCTATGCACACATCTTTCAAGTAAGTTAATATTGAGTTAGGATAGTGTCACAAATTATAATTTTTACCGATTCATGCTAAACTTAAAATGAATGTTCAGTTCAACAAAGAAATCATATCTGCCAACAACAAAATATAGTAGAAAGTATTCAAGCTAGCAAAGTAGTGGCCAAACAAATATAACAAAACCAAGCTTGCATTTCAAGCAGTGTATGGTTCCAGTTCACATGATTTCAAAGGTTATGTCTACTACATTCTAATACATGTATATGTCGCCTATCTCAATTCTCATGTACCATTCTACTGTGCGGTGCACAATTCAAAGTTAATTCAAGTTGGTCCATTTTGAAGAAGTTAAAATTAACTTTGAAATATTTAAATATTTTCATATCTTGAATATTTTCTCAGTGATAACAGGGATATTTGGATGTCTTATTCTAAAATAAGCAGAAATGATGGTTAATTTCTCTTTCTTTCTTTCGATCTGCATGTACGTAGAAATATGAACAAGGATACTGGGAGCTGCATCTTCCTTGCAACATGTTCACTTCTAGTGGTGCAGGTAAGAATGAATATAAACAGTAGCAAGCACATGCTTCCCAAGAAGGCATAGTATTCTGAAAGTATTGAACTTGTAGTACCTGTGACCAAATATGAAGCTGTATTCTTGGAAATTAATGATCTATAAACTTCGTGTAACAACAGTTTCTATTCATTTTTTACTAGCCCCAGCCCCAATCGACCTCCTCTTTTTGGAGGTTGGAGTTTGGAGTTTTTCTCTTTGTTTTTTTAAAAAACTGAATGTCATGAACTTCAACATTACTCTCAAAGGCCGTACAATGTACAGGTGTATATCAACAATACTGTTTTGAATCGACATTTGGGTCAATGGCAGTTCTCTTTAGTAGCAATCTTGAATCATGAAGATGCATACTGATACATGCTTCATAAGACATAATATATTTAAGCTCTTTTATGTATGTTTGAGATGCCATTTGTTCCTTTCCTCTTTCCTTTCAAAATGAAATCTTCAAAATAACAAATCAGTGATACTTACACTTATACTTACTAACCACTTCTCAGGTTTGATATAAGGATGAATGTGAAGAGAGAGATATCGAGGCTTGACGTTCCAAACAGATTGATTGTACATCACCATTCCTGGTTATGATCTCTCTTTCTCTCTGCATTCATAATGTGGTTCACCTGTTTTTCCCAGGAGCCCACTCCCCATGGAATACAGATCTTAACTTTTCTACCTCTATCCATATAAAACCAAGTAGTCCTCCTTGGGACGAAACAGAAAGAATATCTCTCTCACTCTCTTGTCTTTTTAATCTCTTCAACATAACTTTTTAGAAGTACCGTAAATGGTAAAACCGTAAATGGTAAAACCGTAAACTTATGACTTTATAGACATCACCATACAAAAGGATATTAATAAAAGTTAACTTTATAATGTCTGTTATCTAGTAAATGTTGGTGAATGGTATGGGATAGTAGAGATGGATGTACATACTGGATTACTCAGAAAGATTGTCAGCATTGTGGATCCTGAAACAGGTGAGAACGATTGAAGCTTCATTACAGAATGTTTGACCATGGTATTACATAGAATTGATCTTTCCCTCTTAAATGAGAAGGAGTTAATTCTCAACATAATCCTTTAGATTTGTTCCTATATCCTATTGCTTAGTCAATTATCTTGACTTTTCTGAATCAAAGTAATAAGTTGGTTTCTTTTTGTAAATGATTTTCCAATGGGATTCATCCTGTTTTCATGAGCTTACTATTCATTAGTCAAATATATAACACCTTTAAATCATTATTCTACTTTAAAACTTCACAGCTGTAAATCCAAAAGTCCTGAACAAATCTTTAGGACATCACTTGTTGGATTATGTGCATGAAATGTGGATACTTGATGTTGATTGGTGATGTCTCTGACAGAGTGAAAGAGTTTTTTTTTCTCCTTGAATTTAAACTGTTTAGAACCGATCCAGACTGTCTCTCAAGGTTCATCCACCCTGTCTCCTATCATAGCTACAATGAATGCATCATTCAGCAGACTCATTTCATCTCAGAGTCCATGTTCTCCTGATGTTGTTGTCATAGCAACCATATCAGAAGACCCAAGTAAGTTTTAAAGCCCCACTGTCCTACTTGTAGCTACTTGCTCCCTCTATATAGAAAACTTCCCCAATCGGTGCCTGTTGGTCCCCCATGATCCTCTTTTTCTTATGTTAGTTGAGAGCTGAGTTAATGAGATAGCCACCTGTCAGTGACCTCGCTGTGTGGTCTAATCCCTTCTGGCCCAGTAGTATTGACGGTCTTTAAACAGTGCACTGGAGGAGGAAGGCTTGAAAAAAGCTCGAATATTGATGGGGGGAAAAGCTGATGTTTCTTAGAATGAATTGTAATAATACTGGCCAAATATTGTCAACAATTGTCATTCAGTTTTAGGGCAAGCTGTGCAGTGAGAGAGTTTGTTTGATCTCATATTAAACACTTAGCCTCAGCATACAGCACTAGGTTCCTATAATTGTGTTGTATATTATATATTTCATGGGAAAATGAAGAGGGTTAGGCCTTGTTTACAACTATAAAAAAAAAAATTCAGATTTTCATATTGATTCCAATTTCCTTACACCTGAAATAAAAGAGGCATACCTCTATCTATATCTATGTCTTAAATATAAATAGCGCCATCTATTGACAAGTTTTTCCTAGCTTGCTAACACTTAAGCTCAGTTTTAAGATGTTGATTATTCTTCTTTTCTCCCAAATCTGCTTTTTAAAGGGAGCAGAAGATATATATATATATATATTATGATTACCCCCCCCCCCTCCATTTCTATCCTAACAGGTGTACATGTTGGACTATCCTATAAGAGTCTGCAGCCAGATAGTGTTGAGTGGTTTGATCTGACATCCATTCTATGTGCAAATACTTCATCTCAAGGTACTCAGATTATTACATTTCATGTCTTTGGGTTTACTACATATTCTTTTGATCCTTGTACAAAGACGATTCAGAGCCTTGTTAGCTGAGATAATAAGTTTGATTTTTGTTTTTTAAATTCATCATACATATGGATTTGTCTGTTTGATACTTGGTAGAGTAATCCCTTTGCCAGCTCACTCAGGAAGCTATAATGAGATGGATCTAAGACCAAAGTGATCCAATAGCTGGAAATATTTACTTTAGACCTTATATTGTCAGAGATATATAGATTTATATACATGTAATAGGTTTCAGATGAGTTTCAGGATGAGGTTTCGAGTCTGGTTAGTGATTTGTCCAGGGTTGAAATTTAGAATATGGTTAGTGTAGAGTATGGACTGAGGGGATGTATACATTCAGATCGTTGAGGAAGTGATAGTTTGCCATCGCCTGAAACCAAAAGGTGATTATTTGCTTTATATTCCACATCGGAAACATTTCACTTCTTCGGTCATTTTAGAGCAACAAGTCATCAATTAATTAACAGCTAGCTAGCAAACGGTGTACGATACGTACAGTGCATGCAATATGGTGGTGTGACCATATAGTTCGCGCGTGACCAAAGTTTGCGTACTAACACTAAAAGTCCTTAAAGAGGAGAGCAATGCGCAGCGTATACAATTTAAAGTGCGTTGCACTGTGTAGATAAAACTACTATCTACACAGTGCAACAAACTTTTCTTCTCCCAACAATGATGGGCGAACTATCTTTCATCACGTGATTTACTTTTGACTAATTGTAGAGCAAAATTCTTAGTATGTGGAATATAATATTTGACAGTGTGTGAAGATAATATCATGCCTATACATGCTTGTTTCCTTGTAATCAAGAAAACTGTGTGAAATATTTGAACAAAGACTGACAGAGTAAGACATGATTTGATATAGATATCAGATAATGCTACCTGTTATATATATTAAGCAAATAACTACCGTTGGTGAAGGTGATGGGACAAACTATTACTTCCGAGGCGATCTGGATGAAGCTATCTTTCCGAAGCGAAGCTGAGGAAAGATAGCGTATACATTCTGATCGACGAGGAAGTGATAGTTTGCCATCGCTTGAAACTAAAAGGTGATTATTTGCTTTATATTCCACATCTAAAACAATTTAACTACAAAAAGAAAAGGACGTGTAAACATCTACATAAAAGACACCATGGCCAAATTCACACCAAAAAAGTTTAACAGTTTAACCCAACCCCTTGAGGGTACGGTGCGCGCATGTGTTTGTTTTAATTGCGCTCATTGGTAATGCGTGCTTTATTACGCCTGTTTTAGTGCGCTTTTTGATAATCTTCAGTGAAGGTGCGTTGCCCTTTGTAGATAGTACCTCTATCTTCAGTGAAAGTGCGTTGCACTGTGTAGATAGTAGTACTATCTACACAGTGTAACAAACTTTTTGCTTCTCCTATCAATAATGGGCGAACTATCTTTCATCACGTTATTTACTTTTGACCAATCGTAGAGCAAGATTCTTAGAATGTGGAATATAATTATTATTATATTATTGTCTCTCACTTGTTCCACATGTAGATTGTAATAGAGGAAGATTGATTGATTTCAAACTGACATCAGAGCATCTTATTATCCTGACATCTGAAACCATCTTTACCATTCATCTTGATGCTGAACAAAGTTTGAACAAGGTTTGTTATCCAGCCCTCCCATTGTCATGGATAGACATTCTGGCCCGAATTCACAAAGGAGGTTTGTCGACAAACCTTTGTTTTCGTACGTCATATGACGCGTTTTACGCGTTTTTTACAAACCTGGTTTGTAAAGAACAAAAGGAGGTTTGGTGAAACAAAAGGAGGTTTGAGCTCAAACCTTGGTCAGAGCTCAAACCTTGCTTTGTGAATTCGGGCCTCTGAGTTTATATTCTAGCAAATAATTTGGGATGCTTCTCAAAATGCAAACAGCCATGTAACTAGTGCAAATAAATGATTAGAGGTGTCGTGGTCGAGTGGATACGTCGCCGGACCTCGGCACTATAATGTCCTTTGGCAAGACATTGATCTACATTTGCCACATTCAACCTGGGTGATGTAAATGGGTACCTGGCAGGAATTAATTCCTTGAAATGCTGGAGCACTGTTATTGCAGCTACTGTAATTAACGGTGTATAAACCGCCCTCGTGTATTAACCGCACCCCTCTTTTTCCCCTAAAAAAAAAATAAATAAAAAATAAATAAATAAATAAAAAAAATAAATTTAAAGACTCTGTCGGTAGCAAGCCAGGTCCGTGTTAAAAAACCCATGCGGGAAGGCCTTTCATTTAACTGCAACTGAATGTGTAAGATCATTAATGTAAATTAAAAAACAGTAGATGACCTAGGATAGAACCTTGTGGTACACCATGTAATAGAAGAAAAATTGGAGGAATTATTATTATAAACTACGTATTGAGAACTATCAGAAAGATTACTTTCAAACCAAGATGACAGACAAATTTGAGTGTTGTTCTAGTTTCCGAGTGGTGAGTCAACACACCGATTACTGAGCTGGGAGACATTGCCGGGCATAGCGCCAGGTGGAGGGGCATAAATTGAAACATTTTTTATTTATTTTTATTTTTTTGTGTGTACCGTGTATAAGCTGCACCCCCGACTTTGACTTCGGCGGCAAAAAAGTGCAGTTAATACACCATTAATTATGGTAGGCTAAAGCCGGGGTAATAATGAATGCGCCTCGGAATAAAATTTCTAGATAGACGGCGCTATAGAAATGCCTATTATTGTTATTATTATTACATTGAAAAAATTAGTTTTTATGTGATTGCATTTGATTGTAACTTTTCTTTCTCATCTGATTAAATTCTTCTTTGATATGTATTATAAATATTTGAAACATTAACTATTTACTTTCGTTTTTGCTGCATTTATATAGTTGTGACAAGAACTGTTGTTGTTATGATATGATTTTTTTATTTCAATGATTTTTTTTCATGTGAAATATTTTCTCTCATATTGTATGATGTTGCTGAGCAATGATAAGAAACCAATTTGAGAGAATACACATTGTTGTTCAAGACTAAATTGAAAATTAATTTTCTTCAGTCAGCTTTTAAAAAAAAGAAGACTAATCTTATTATTTTGGGGATAACATCAAATGTCATATTTGGCTGGATGGCAAGTTTACTTAGCAATCCTGTCCTGGATTAATTGTTTTCTTTTGTAAATTTTATTTAGCCTGATAATTTAAAGTATTAAATTATTTCATTTATCTGCAGAACGTTGTTAATCGTATCAACATTGGGAGTGTTACAGAAGGCTTCTTACTCAATAATACTAGACTCTCTTACACTCCCACATGTAATCCTCAATACCTGGTTGGTAAGTATTCAATCAACCTTTACATCCCATTAAAAATTGATGGAAAAGAACTGATTTTTTTTGGTATAACGTATGTCTGATATCAAGTTTTCTTGATATATTATCATTTATCAATTATTTGTAAACAAAATTAATATATTAATAGCATAAGAAAGATGAATTTGGTGGTATGAACATTAGTGCAATTGTTCACCCTTCTTCACATTTCCATTATATTTTCTTTATATTAGCTACTAATATATTGATTTCCATTCTCACTCTTTGACTGTTCTTGCCTTGTCCTATTTCTCTCTCTCTCTCTCCCCCCCTCTCTCTCTCCCCCTCTCTCTCTCTCTCTCTCTCTCTCCCTCCCTCTCTCTCTCTCTCTTACACTTTCTCTCTCTTCTCTACACCTCTATCTCTTAATTGTTCACCACTTTACTTTATCATAATAAAAAGATGCAAGGCAAGCCTATGAATAGCATATTTCTAAAGAATGAACATTGATTGTGTATTGTAGATTTGCACTCATCCAGAAAATAACTATTTTGTGCCTGACCTACTAGGGTTCTAGAACCAACATAAATCATTTTCAAGTTGTGTACCAGATAAGTCAAATTGTTATCATTTGTTTAATAAATGCCACATTAAATTTATGAACTATTTTTAAGGGACCCTTGTTCATACATGATTTGGTAAACTAAAAGAGAGGGAGAAAAAAAAAAATAAATATATATATATATATATATATATATATATATATATATATTTTGGATATGGTGTGGACATATATTTTATTGCAATGCAGTCTGCAGAATTATTTCATGAAGAAAAGAATATTCCACATGCGTACCACCCATGAAATATCTCTTATATACACTCTCCCTATTACATACACTCTTGATAGAAATCTTTTATGCTCTACACCCAATTCATACTGCCACACCCCTTTCTAACCATATCTTGCCAAACTCGTTCAACATCCCTGGACATCTCCTATTAAGCTCCTCTCCACCTACCCTTCTCCCAAACTGCTTCCACCCAGCATACCTGGGCATCTATTAAGCTCCTTTTCACCCCTACCCTTTAACCAAACTACACCCACCCATTCTCCCCCGGGCCTCCTTTACTACCTCTCTCCTACCTCACTCCTACCTGTTAGAGGGCATTCACCCTAGCATCAAGGCATGATCTGTAATTGAACACAGTTTGTTGACAGCAGCTAACATCTACATGGGGAGTACATACACACATGTATTCTATTACACACTGACTGGGTTGTTACAGGTCTGTCCTACCAGTAGGCCGGTCCAATGATTCCCATCTCATCCACAAGTTTCCTTTTCTCATGTTGTGTTCCTAATGATGCTGTTCATGTTTTGAGTAGCTTTTGTAGTTGAGAAAGAGGATGAAATTGAAGTTTAACTTAAATTTCAAATTTATTACCCAGTAATAAACAAATAACGACAAGTATAAACAAAGTTATCAACAATAACATAGATGGATGAAAGGAATCAGAAATATCATGAGTGGTTATCGAGAATCTGTCATCTTAGAATATACAAAAATATACAAAATTAGAAAGTAGAATAGACAAACAAATTTTGAACTGCTACATAAAGCTTATTAAAAATGAAACTATACAACAAATTTAATAATGGATGAAAGGTTAGATATCAAATATCTAGCAGTTTATCATATTTTATTCATTTGAAAGGTATTCTACAAGTTTTTAGTGTCCATGTTGTAGGTCCACGTTGTAAGTGGGCGATCATTCTATAAACAACTGCCTTCATGTGAAACTGAAAACATTCCTGTTCTGACCTGGGGTATATGCAAACTTTTTTCTTCTTCTTTTGCCTTGTTTGATACTTTTTCTGATTGCAAGAACAATATTGAATATGGCAAAATTCCATCTACTACTTCATACATGAAATTACAAGTACAAAGTTTGAGTAGTTGGAAAACATTCAAGATCTATAACTTTTTAAATAGTTGTTTTATATGTGCAATTATTGATCTAAATGTTATAGCGCGTAGAACCTTGTAGACTGTGTTGTATTTATTTCATGGGACTGTTAGAGAAAGTTATGATACAGAATTGAAAGAAAATCATTTCCCCTCTAACTGTATAGCAAATGATTGAAAGATAGAGAGAGAAAGAGTTATACAATCTCAGTGTTTCTTCAGTAAAAATATGTAGACTTGGTGAATTTATATGCTTTTTGGGGGGTGTATTATGATGATTTTTTGCATTATTTCCAGTTTTCCACAATACAATGTATAGAAAACTGCTGTAAAATTCCACTTCCTCTTGACTTGTAGATTTATGGAATTGTTTTTGTTACATGTATACGCTGTTTGCTAACTATTAATTTAGTTTCTGTTTATAGGGAGAATCTAAATTTACTTGCATATCCATGAAACACAAATATGGAATCATTGTCAATGTAAATAAATGCAAAACACAATAATATTATGTAGGCATAGTGCATTTCTTGCATTCATCTCTCTCACTATATCAAGGGAGACATTGTTGGTAGGAAACTAAAAGCTTTGAAACCTAAGAGCCTAGATGACGTAGTGGTGCCTAATAAGTGTCTTGATACCCTCAGGTATTCTCTCATTCATACCTGTCATATTTTTATTAGTCGTGACAAAACGACTTTCAACCTTTGACATCTGAATCTACAGGGACATGAGTTTGCCTGTCAACAGAGAAATGGAGACATCTGTTAGTCCCGTAGTCCCATGTGTGTTATTTGACGTATGTAGTAGAGTGTAAACACCACACACCCACTCTCACGTCATGTCATGTCATGAATAGTGTGGGCTCATAATAATGCTGATGTGGTATTTCAAGTTCCTTTCCTGAAGGTTTCCAGATGTTTGGAAAAGGAACCAGTACCTGATTTATTTTTTTATATGGTTATCTTTGTTATTGCCAATATCTGAATATGGCCGGCTATATACCCTCCCACTCATATGTCAGCCACAGAATGATTCATGTAATGAATACAAGTTGCCATGCATTTAACTTGAAAGTGAAACCAATGAATACCCATTTGTATCTTGGATTTTTTAAATTTTATTTTATTTATTTATTTATTTTTTATTTTTTATTTTTTTTTTGGGGGGGGGATAAATTTATCCCATTGACAATACATATATACATAATAAAAAGGCTATTTCGTGTAATAATAAAGTTTCCCAAAAAACTGACAGGTTCATGATGTTATACAAATTATGAATTTAAGGAAGAGATGTATAATTTAAAACAGATAACTTGAGTCTTATCATCTATTTGCCTATGATGTATGAAATTGTTTGAAAACAACTTTTTTATCTGTTTTTCTGTCAACACTACCATACTATCTGTTTGGATCGAGCCAGAAGGGCGTTAACTCATATACACAGAGTTTGTGCCCGTATGGCTCCAAAAAGACGACATCATTTTATTGAAATAAATGAATATTTAAATGATGTGTGATATGGTTTGATCTTAGTTCAGCATTCAACTTAATTTTGCTGGAAATGTATCAAAATGAGCTTTATCTCACTTGCAAATTGACATAGTTCCAAAGTCCTGATGTTCTCACTATTAAAAATACCTCTAATACATCACATACATTGTGGCAGTATTTTGACATCATTGGTCTGTACTACATACGAACCCCCTCTCAAGGTACATTATTCATTAACTCCGCTGCCATACAACAGTATTCAGTGACCAGTCACCATTCATGTTAATACATTTACAAGTCACACTTTGGATGTTTCCTTTGTTTTAGAACTCTGTTTTATGTCACAGGCCTGAACAAATTGTCTGCATTCCCAATTGTTATTGGCACCAGAGGTATTAATCATCACAGCTGCTTTATCTTTCTTTGACAAGTTGTTAGTAAATTGGCAAGGGAAACTGAGTGATGTAACACTTTGATGTTTCAATGGTAATTGTCAAGAATATACTGAGCATGAATTGCTTTGATTACCTGCCAAGTTTTAACATTAAACATTTACTGGAATGGTTTATGTTCGATAATGAATTGCTTTAAAATGATCGTTTTGTATCCCGCCCAATATCCCAGCATTTTCAAACCATGTGACGTGTATGATTATATTAGCACACAGCTTTACCTATCTCCTTGTTTGCCTATACAGTTGTGGAGGTGCCATTATATACATGAGTATTTTGGGGATCATAAAGAGACAAAATGAGGCCCTATCTCGATCATACTTGCTTTTGTAATCAACACTTATGAAGCATCTTTTTATCTATTGTCTTCCTATGAAGGATTCTAGCTTCATCAAATGTTTCTAATACCTGTTGGTCAAATATGTGGATAGCTAAAATGCTATCCATCCCAGTGTTATCCATCCTCGTGTTTGTCACTTCTAGTTTTGTATATATTAGCTCGCTCTATACCTCTGAGCATGATGGAGATCACATAAATCGTGACTTTGGTTGATTTTGTGGTAGGAAGTCACATACTAGGTGACAAATGAGGGCCAGTACCTCCAAACACTTCCAGACCTAAGAAAGTCTACCATTAGGTGGGACCAACCCTCAAAGTCTGCATTTCCGGAAATTGTTGCTTTGTTGGGTTGATGGCAAACGTGTCATTGCCTGATTGGCCTCCCGTAGGGTACCTGATGCACCCTAACCCCACCCCACCAGGGGGGCAGGCACAAGGAAATTGAGACGAGGGATACTCTCCTCCCTTATGTATCACTCCCTATTCTAGAGTGGTGAAGCTGAGAAAGACATTATGTGCAGGTACTCATTATGTCCCTATGTACAATGTCATGAAGCTGTTTTTCATCTTCATTATGATTCATTTGTCTGTGTAATGCCACACCTATTGTTTGCCAGGTACAGGTGGGCATCTTTAACATGATAACTTAATTAAGATACAGGTTCATTCAAAGGGCAGCTTCTCTCTCTCTCTCTCTCTCTCTCTATCTCCCGCTCTTTCTCTCCCTCTCTCTCCCCGCTCCCCAGTCTTTCTCTACCAATCCATCCCACCCTCTTTCTATCTTCCTCCAGCCCTTTCTATCACTTTAAACCCCCCCCCACCTTTCCTCTTCATCTATGTGTCCTGTCTGTTCTCTCTCTCTTCCTTTCACTTTCCCCTCTCCCCCTTTCTATCACCCCCTATCATTCCTCTACGTTTATGTTTCCTGTCCCTTCTCTGTCTCTCTTTCCTTAACCTTCTTATTCTATTCCTCCTTCCAAAACTTGTTTATTGTCTCTTCCTTTTGTGTTTATCTCTCCATGTCCTTCCTACTCTCAGTACTCGTCTATCATCTTGTGCCTAATTTTGGTATGTGTAGCTTTGAATCAGAGATTTCAGAGGGTACTTTGTGGTCAAGTATTATCCCTGGAGTCGTCTCTCTGCACCCAGGTGTAGTACATGCAAGAGCTTAAAGCCAGTGAATTATTAAGAAGACAAGATCATAAACACTTTTTCTGTGTTTTCTGTTTTATTCCATAGATGAAGTTGTTCTGGTAGTGAAGCAGCTCCCATACCCAGATACCCTACCACAGGTAAGTCTATTCATATCACCAAACATCAGAACCAAACAACTCATTTGAATTGTTTTCAACATCAAGTGCTTTTGCCTTGAGATAAAATCATCCGTAGATTAAATCTGGCCTGTTAATTAGGAGCCATCTATAACCAGGGATGCATGTAGTGGATGTAAGATGTCAGTGGGTTTGAATGCAAGACTCTCTGATCTATAGGTGAATGGAAGCATGATGGCTCAGTGGTAAAGCAGTGGTCTCGTGACCGGGAAGACCTAGGTTCAGAACCAAAGTGAATCCGCTAGTGCCCTTAGAGAGGACTTAGAGCTGTTGGTCCCATCAAACCATCAAAGTATTTAGTGTCTTGAGATTTACGCAACGAGAATAATCTATTCCAAGTAATCTTAGTCACATGATCTTGTGGCTGATACAAGACTAGTATAAGAATAAAGACGCCATAACCAGGGATCATATTGATTAGTCATTTTGTTTACAAGCAGGTGGATTATATAGTAACAGGTGTTTGCATGATGAGTATGAATTGTTAAGATTAGTTACCTGGTAAAAAGACTGTTCTAGGTCCGTCCTATCCTGATTCACATCAGTACCAATGATACTTAGAGAATACACAAATGACCTGTAGCCTTATGAAGAAGAAATATTGTGACAGCTGGGCTTAAAACTACAAAGCTTTAGGTGCTAAATGTTTGAAATTTGTGAAAGAAGGATGAAATTAATGATCACAACTGTTTTCATATAGCTTACAGACACTTCAGCAAGAACTGTTCCTTTATCCCCCTTGCCACCACATGTATATTTTAGCAGATGAAATTAAGAATGTTTTTTGTCTGGGAATGATATCTGTGCACTTTATCTTTGATGTAGTGAAGTATTGGTATGTTTTGAACACACATAATTGTGGCCACTTGCATTTCCTCCTGTACATTATCAACCATCACAATTGTATCATACATAATCATTATTACAACAATTAGACAATGTGTATGACTTTTTATGAAATGTCATTTCACAATCTTCTTTCAAAGAACATACAATGTAGGCTTCAGATCTCACAGTTTTATTACTGAGAATCAAGTATATGAAAGCTCTGTATCTGAAATATTGCCTTGCTGACTGTACATGAACATGTCTTGATAACTGTTGTTCTCTTCAAGATAGTAGCCTAACTCATTGAGGTAGTGTGAGATTAGTGATCATAAAGAGAGCATCCTTCCTAATCTTTAGTAGATGTTGAAGAATCTATTCCTTTTTTGTATGGCATGCTTTGTATGTTTGATTTTAAGTGGTTGAATAAAGTGAAGTGAACTGAACATGTACTTGGTCTAAGACCGAATTCATAATGATAATAATCAATTATTCTCAAACTGCTATGACAGGACTTCAAAAATCCTGTTGACTTTTTTTAGCCACTGTCAGATATTTTTTTGTTTTCTTTTACATTGGAATTTAATTTTGATCTTTGAAACTTCCTGAATTTTCTGTAATTTGAGTTTGTCACCATGAAATGTAGATTCCTTTAGCTTCAAAGTGAGTTTGTTCCTGACAAATTCTCCAACTAGCACTAAACTCTTTCCATAGCTGTATAACTTCAAAATGTTTAAAAGTGGAGTGGCATTACTCTTTTCATAACAAATTTGTCATTCAATTACTCATAGCAATCTCTTTTGACACTAGCCAGATACCAATCTGTGTTTAAAAGCACTCAATTTACTAACCTGCTGTACGCCACAGCGGGGTGCTACAGGTTCAATGTTTCATATCTCATTTGACTACCCTTCATATGCCACAGGCCATTTTTGTGTTTTCTTTCTATTTCCCTTCATAATTCATTTGATTTAAGTCTGTATGGCTATTCTCCACATTTATGATAACATGAACAAAATTAGTTTGTTAAGTGAAGGAAGACAGATAATAGACAAAATATGTTTCTTTAAAAGATGAACCATTTAGATAACTCTTGTAAAAATAGACTTTCATAACAAAAAATACAAAAATAAATGTAAAGCAAGACTTTTCAGGTAAAGTCTTATTTTCTTTCTAAAATTTTTTAGAATGTGTCAAAACTTTCAACCATTTCTTCAACACAGAATCACTTTTTTAACCATTTTACTGGCACATTGTATGTCAAATGATTTTTCCTTTCTTTCAATGTACAGTATAATTGTGTTCATGTTATTTCTGACTTTTTTTTTTTTTTTTTGGGGGGGGGGGGGGGGGGCGGTACTTGTGTGAAGAATACAATTGTGAAAGGAAAATATTAGTGGTTCTGATTTGAAGGGTCATATCTGTTTTGTTGATGCAATGCATTGGTTGAAGGATGAGGGATCATGTATGCTGTCGCTGTAATAGTTAATTTAGGATATGAGTCATTAAATATGGCCCCACAACTCATCCACCACCCTCCCAGCTAGCCGGACAGAGGTAAAAAGTTCAGATATGGTTTCAGAATTCCAAAGTAGACCCCTACAACTTTTATATTGTATGTCTGAAAGTTAGTCAGTTTGAAGCTAATACTACAGCAGCAGCAACAGAAATAATAGTAACAAAAAAAGAAGAGAAGAAGAACAAACAAACAAACAAAGATAGAAAGAAGATCATAGAGAGAGAAAAGGAGTAGAAGAGAGAGAGAGAGAGAGAGAGAGAGAGGGGGGGGGGGGGGGGGGAGTAGTAGTAGTGTCACAACTAGTACTAATAGTTGTGGAAGTACATATAGTAGGATGAGGAGGAGCATTTGGAGAAGGGGAGTGTAGGTAGGAGGAGGGGAGAGGGAAGAGGAGAGGGGAAGGAGAGGAGGAGAATAGAGAAGAGGGAAGGAATGAGGAAGAGAGAAAGAGGAGAAGGGGAGGAAGAGAAAGGTAAGAGAAGGAGAGAACATAAATTAGCAGTAGGAGGAGTTAGTTGCATGTTATGTATTATCTCCTTGCTGATGATCAATTATGAATCAGTGAGAAGATTGTCTGTCACAAGGCATGGTTATGTCATAACTTCCTTCCATAGACCCACAGGGTATTTAATAACTGTACTTATAAATTATTGTCAGCTAGAATGATGGGAGGTGGTCACAGAAAAATTGTGGAGAGTAAGGGAGAGAGAGAGATCGGAGGGGGAGAGGGAGGGGAGAGAGAGAGAGAGAGAGAGAGAGAGAGAGGGGTGGGGGAGAATAGGGAAATAGGGGAGGGGAATGAGAGAGAGAGAGAGGAATGAGAGAGAGAGAGAGAGATAGGAAGAGAGGGAGAGAGAGAGTGGGGGAGCAGTGAGATGAGAGGAAGAGACAGACAGACAGACATACACACATACATACAGAGAAGGGCAGGTGCAATGGATAGGAAAGTAGGGAGACTGTGACAGATAGATTTGGAGGAGTTGAGGTAGAGAGGAATAAAACAGCTAAAGATCATCAGAAAGGCAATTGGATATGAAAAGACAGCGTGAGAAGTTGAAAAGGAAATGCAGAGGTATTAATGAGGAAGCAGAAGAGAGATTGATAAAGGAAAAGAAAAACAAATGAGAGATCACTCATGCCCACAGAGATGGGGAAAAGGGAGTGATATTAATTAAATCTGACATCTAATGCTTACTTTTTATAAAGAAAGTTCTAGTATTAAGAATGTGACAGTCATGCAAATACAAATTTTAAAAAATGTGACAGTGATTAGTTGTTTATATTTTTATATTCTGTGTCTGCATCCTTATTCACATGCATATGGGTAAATACAAGTATGGTTCACATCCAATCACTTTCAAGTATTGTGTTTGTTATAATGATTGGTATACAAAGCAAGTCTGATCATAATCCATTCTTGGCTCAGTACATCCACTCTGACTGATACATCTGTGCTAGCTCTCACTCTCTATAAATCTTTCTCTTTTCACTTTTTTTGGGATCTGCCTTTACACCAACATCCTAAAACCGTTTTATTTTTTAATTTGGGTGAAGAAAGAAGTCTTTAAAAGTATATGACAATTTGTTTAAAAATTAATGTATTCTGATTTTTTTTATTTGCATACTATACAAATATATGTACATTGTATAAGTTATGAAGAATGTCCCTAACACTATAACCTTTTTCTTATAGCCCAGAAAATTTTGAAATATTGTGTGCTTTGTTTTCAGTTTCCCCAGTGAGGCGTTAAGAAGAAAAAGGAGATTCCAAGCTTTTAACACTTTAATATATTTTTATTTCATTTTTCACAGCAAAAAAGGGAATAAAGAGGCCAGAGGTGTGTGGCCCATTGGTTGACCAAGAGTAGACCAAGAGCAGCTCAGTGGCAAACATAATACATATAATATCACACATTCTCACAAGCACAATTCAACCAAAATATCACTTTTTTTGGCAGAGAATGGAGGATTGGACAAATTCAATTGAATTTGCTGTCTTTCCTTCCGGATTTCTGGCGGATAAAGGAATTTGATGAAACAGGGTAGTTCCGTTAGCATCCACATCAAATTCAAAGAAAATGGAAAGGCATGAACAGTTGACAACAGATGCTTTGCTTCATATTGGCTCAATCTTTAGTCTGGGGACATCCTGAGGATCGAGATACAGAGATGAGCTTGTTTTCATTATAAGTGAGAGTGAGATCATCTAGGACTGTATGTTAGAAGAATAGGATGGTCTGCAGAAGACAGTGTAGTATTGCTAAGCAAGATCATTCCTTGTGTAGTCTATAAGGTTTGAACTTGGTACTAAATTGGTTTGCTTAACTGAGCCATGCTGAAAAATACATGAAATTTTGATGCCTGTTATGAAAGTTTATATTGGGATATTAACCCATTAGCAACTAGAGATTTTGTAAAAATAGCCTATGCACTCACTGGAAGATGTTGCAATATATTGCTCTCATATTGACATTGTTCTGAACAATATGAAACCTGCGCTATTTTTCTATGCAGAATCCTACTGTAAACATTGTAAGGATAACGCACGTATAACATCACGGCAGACCCTGTAGAGGGATATTACAGCGCGTTAAAAACGGACGGGCGGTTTTGGGCGGTTTAGGGTAAACACATCATGGAGTCCAACAAGAAATATGGTCATGAAAAGCAGACTTAATTCTCCAACATCATGTTGTCTTGTGTAAGTAGATCATGTTAATATAGAGACAAAGATCAATAATAATGTGGGAGGGTCAGATTGGGGGGGGGGGGGTTAAGGAGTTTGAAGTGTTATGAGCTGATCCTCCCTACACCCCTTCCACCCACCCACCTCATACGCTTCCCATGATAGACAGTGAATCTGTCTCATCACCGGGGGAAAAACTCCAGGTTACCATGACGATGCTTCCTGTTTATTCATCGCTAACTTCCTGTACCACTGTGTATGGGGGGACACTAGGGGGCCTGATCACGTAACTTCCTTTGACCTAGGGTCTGTCCTGTCAAGGCTAGCAATCACCACCGTGTTCACACCAGACCAGATCTGTCATTGTTAGCTGACATACGCCCAATCAGAGGACGGTTCAAAATGAAATCAACAGTGTTCAATCTCCTTGACTTACACCCAATCAGAGGACGGTTCAAAATGAAATCAACAGTGTCCAATCTCCTTGACTTACACCCAATCAGAGGACGGTTCAAAATGAAATCAACAGTGTCCAATCTCCTTGACTTACACCCAATCAGAGGACGGTTCAAAATGAAATCAACAGTGTCCAATCTCCTTGACTTACCCAATCAGAGGACGGTTCAACATGAAATCAACAGTGTTCAATCTCCTTGACTTACACCCAATCAGAGGACGGTTCAAAATGAAATCAACAGTGTCCAATCTCCTTGACTTACACCCAATCAAACAATGGTTCAAAATGACATCAACAGTGTTCAACCACCTTGAGTTCCAGCCCTTCTTCATTCTAAAGGGGTAGGAGGAGGAGCTTGCTAGGATAGCATCCTCTCACATTGATGGGATGTTTAGAACTCGATGAACTTCTGATACCCAGGTGGATGAAGACCTGATGAAGTGATAGACTATCTTGATCATCATGATCAATGGGACCCAGGACTCATACATTCGTTGTTCCCTCTCTGGTACAGGCTGTAGCCAAAGTTTAAGAGTTCCAAAGTATTATATGCACTTTACCTTCTGGTGCTCCACTTCTCAGATACATGTACCTAGCAGCAGTATTCCTTTATAGAAATAGATCCCATATCATATAATGATGCCTGAAAATAAACAATTAGTCATCATTACATGTAGAACATCATTGTGTCAAAAAGAATGCTTGAAGTGGAGCTAGCTATTGGGTGATTGATCACATGATACTGTGTGTCAATAATCATATGTTGTAATACACTGAACAATGTCATGTTTAATAGAAATATTTCTTACTCCACGTAATTTGCTCCTTAGACTTAAGAGGTAAATTTTCAGGTCCGTATTCTACTAAAATATAGAGGGTATACTTTTAGGCTTTTGGTCAAAATCAGGTTCTACAAATGAAGTTAGTCTGATGTGTGTAAAATTTCCTTGTGTTAAACACAATTTTACATGTAGTCCCAGGGTCGATGTAAATGAATCAGTAAAATACAGACCTTGATCTTCAAATACCAATCTCATTAACCCTGACTACTAATCTAGACAGACTCTAATCCTTATAGCATTGCTTGTCTTTTTCTTTATGAAATCTAGTTTGCTGGCGTATCGGTCCAAAATAATCTAGGTCATGTACCGTATCCCTGGTCAGCACTATGCCAAATCAAATCTTATCAGGTATACAAGCCAGCTCACCAATAAATCTTCTAACAAGTTTGTAAATTACTCCTGACAATATTTGGCAGAAATTTGTATAATCTCTGCCATGGCATCTAAACTACAAGTGAAAGGTATTCTGCATCCATACCCAGCCAAAGGCAATCTCAACCATGCTAAGGCTTTGGCAAGTGGTCAAGCAATGTCCACTGCGGTCAGCAAGGATGTCTAACACCTGTTGGTCATACAAGGAATACACAGAAAAATAAAATGAATCACTACCCTGCATTATTATAGTGTTGGTGTTCCAACTATTTCAACCATAATATTGAATCAGATTATAACTTCAATATGGATGTGAAAAAACAAATAGTGTAAAATGTAGTAATGTAAAGGTAGAAGAGGCAGTTGAAGTTAAGGGAAGTTAGGATGAGACATAAAGTTGTATAGACTGTAAGATAGATAAGTGAGAAAACTAAAGAATAAGTGGGAAAAGTGATGTATAGAGAGAAAGAGAGTGATTACAAGATGTTTTGTCACTGGTATACAAAAAACTGAAAAAATGAGAGCTTGATAAAAGTTTGTTGTTGTCTTCATATTTACTGCTGACAGACATTGTGAATTTTGTGTATGTTTGGACTATTACAGGATTGATAATACACAATGAGAATAAAACTAAATTCTTGAGAAATGACTGGTAGATACCCGGTACATGTTTTGCTTGAAGTTAGGAACATCAAAGCACACTCTATTGTATAATGCAATTTGATGAATATATGTCTCACTATTATTTTTTTATTTATATATTGATTTTTTGTTTATAAACCATGGAGTATTAATGACATGGTTTGCCAAGAAATTCATAAGTTTAGCTGATGAGAGATATAAAGTAAAAATTCCATTCAGGAGTCACAGAACTCTTCCATTGAACCAATTATCATTCAAAAGTTGATGGACATGTTGTATGATTTGTTTTGTCCTGCTCTAGATCCTTGGTGTTAGCCGGTACCCCTTTACCTCCTGGTTACCTGTTAATCTGACTGATGCTGTGCTGCCTGTCCTAGGTCTACATCTCCCACAGTCATCCAGGTTTCTCATCCTTGCTAACCATCAGGTAAGCCCCATTCAGATATGCCGTGGTAACCCTTTACCTGATCCTGGTTACCTGTTAACCTGACTGATGCTGCGCTGCCTGTCCTAGGTCTTCATCTCCCACAGTCATCCAGGTTTCTCATCCTAGCTCACCATCAGGTAAGCCCTGTTCAGATATGCCGTGGTACCCCTTTACCTCCTGGTTACCTGTTAACCTGACTGATGCTGCGCTGCCTGTCCTAGGTCTTCATCTCCCAGTCATCCAGGTTTCTCATCCTAGCTCATCATCAGGTAAGCCCTGTTCAGATATGCCGTGGTACCCCTTTACCTCCTGGTTACCTGTTAACCTGACTGATGCTGCGCTGCCTGTCCTAGGTCTTCATCTCCCACAGTCATCCAGGTTTCTCATCCTAGCTAACGTTAGGTAAGCCTTGTTCAAATAAGCTGTGGTGGTAAACCGGCTTTTTTATATGACGTAATTGTTATATGCTTCACATATCTGTATCTTATACACAGTAATCAGCGAATGCACATAGTTGCCATTCATTTACACATTTTAATAAAAACACAGTGGTTTGCCCCTTTATATATCTGAACGAGTCGGTAGACTCCAACAGCCAATCCTATTCAAGACTTCTCTGTAAAGCTCCTCCTAGAAAATGGAAAGCTTTCCTGAAGCGTTAAACTATATACAAACTCCTTTCCCTCAAGTTTCTTTCTTCTTAGATAATTCCTTGTAAGAATATCCCTTGAAATCAATACCTATTGTCAAAATACACATAAGTTCCATTCATTAATTTCATGGTTCTTTTCTTTGGTTCTGGGTTGATCTCCTTATCTTGTTAACACTATGTCAACCTCAATACATCAACAAGATTTATGATGATTATCAGGTGCATTGTTTCAAGAAAAAACCCTCATAAGTACAAGTTCACAGACATTCCATTGAAATGCATGCATTAAATTAATACTCATGTATTAGAATTTAACACGCTTCAATGAGGTGTTGGTGAAACGATGCCCATAACTTTCACTTGTCCCTCACTCTTTTTTTCTTTCTGTCATATTTTCTTTCTTACTTCTGCCAAGGTTTTTTCCTGCCATGCCCCTGGGTTATGTCTTTGACTCTTTTTATTCTTATCAAATGTTTCCTGTTTAGATTCAAGACTTTTTGTTGCTCTTTATTTGATAATAGTTGATTCTTCATTGCCTGTAGTTCTGAATGCTTTGAGTCACTGTCTGTAGGCTTCCTGGCTCCAACACATGCCAAGTTTTAGTTTGCAAAGAAATCATGTTTTTATTGACTCAGAAAAGAAGACAAAAACTTGAATGTGTGTGTACTCACCAAATGCTTATAGTCTGATGTGTAATAAGGCAGAATAATATCAAATGTACAACATGCTCCTCTGAAATTGACCTAGCTATCATGAGTGTATTCAATGTACTCATTCTTTTCTTACTGTCTAAGGTTTTAATCATTTTAAAATAAAAGTCCCTTTTTGTCAGCACATGATTGATATTTTGCAATCGACTACGATGTGATCGTGATTGTATTACTAACCAATGGACCCGGAACCTGTACTCACCAAGTGTACTTGTGATCGATGTTGTCAGCATCCCTCGCATCACTCCTCTCCCTCCTCTTTGTTTCTCTCATGCTGCCCCTCTCTACCTTGCACCATTCTCCTCCCCCTCATGCGTACACCTCTCTCAGACCACCTTCTCCTCTTAAAATACTAATCTCCCTTACCCCTCCCCATCTCTCTTTCGATCTTTTCCTCCTCCCCCCCCCCTCTCTCACTGCCTCTCTCGTTTTCTCATGTACTGCCCCTTCTTTCATACTGCCCCTCTCTCCCTCTCTCTCTCTCTCACACACACTGTTCCTCTCTCTCTCTCTCTTTCTCTGTCTCTCTCTCTGTCTCTCTCACAGTCCCTCTCTCTTTCACACTACCCCTCTCTTTCATGTACTTTCTACCCCCCCCCCCCCTCCCCCTTCTGATAGCACCCCTCTCTCTCACACACACCAAACCTGTCTCTCTCCCAATGCACCCGTCTCTCTCACAATGTCCCCCTCTCTCACACTACTCCTCTCCCTCACAATGTCTTTCTATCATACCATCCTGTCACACCGCCCCTTTTCCAAGTTTTCACATACCCTTCACTACAAGTTCCGCTACTAGACTTGTTAAAAAGGATGTGGTTTTGGAAAGGAACTGTTCTATTTTCACACAAAGTCCCAGATTAACGGTTCATCTCAAAATGTCACGCTGACGATGTTTGATGGCAGGCAAAAGGGAAAAAGAAAGGGCGTTCATTACCCCTGCTTTGTTGCGCTAGAAGGAAGGTCTCTGTTTATATTGGAACATTGATGTGTTTCTTGTTGCGGTAGCATAGCTAGCTAGCGCCTCAAGCTATTTCTTGTATAGCTTGCCTGAATGATGTCTCTCTTTCTCAAGTCTCTTTTTACACCAGTCTTTAGGCCTGTCTTCATCAGCTCGAGTTTGCCAAATAACCTGCTATTTTCAGACTCTGTATATTATCCCGAAGCTCAAAATTGCATCTTCACCAAACTAATATGCTCATCACAAACTAGCCCGGACGGGCAAAAATAGCAGGATATTTTGGAAACAACACCAAGATTTCTCAGGATATTTTCTTGACCAAATATCCGGGATAGTTAAAATAGCGGGTTATTTGGCAAACTCGAGCTGATGAAGCCAGGTTGCATTGCATTTCAGCTGATGTCAACTTTGAATTTGAATTTGACATCAGCTGTGATGGCCGTGAAGAAAGAGATTTGTTATATATCACAGAACTGATAGCTTTAGTTCTTTAAATTAGCAGTGATATATATACTTCCAAGCATTTATGCTTTCTTAGCAGTCAGGTAAAATAACCACCACTATATAGATATTAGTATAACTGAATTGCAATTAGTTTTTTTTTCATCTCAAAACTGCTTACATACTGTGTTCAGGACTACCTACCAACTCTACATTTACTTATATTTAAAAGAAAAGAAGATAAAAGCTTATTTTTAGTGGGTAGTGTAAAGAAATTGTTTTTACAAATATTTATCCCTTTTTATTTTGGGATGAGAAACGAGCGAGTTAACATGAGGACTCCCTTTATGTGGAATAGAGGATTTACCTACAAGAAATAGATTTCTATTGTCCTATGGAAGACACACCTAAAAACTTGTAAAAGGGTCAAAATGTTGTATAAAATCATGATTGAAAGCTTTCTTAAAAGTGTGGTGGCAAAATGTTCATTATTTTTCTTTTTACTTTTTTTGAATTTTGCACCTGGCAGTTATTTATTCACCCCATTTGTTGAGTACAAAATGAGGGCTTCAATTTTTACTTGTAGAGAGAAAACCACAAAGACTCTTTATCTGGCATTTTGCACATACTGTCATAAACTCATCTTGCTGCTAAAGATGAATTTGAGATAATTTTGTTAAGGCTTACAAATCCCTGATAAGGATTTTTACTATATCCTCTTCTCTAACAACAACCCTAATTGAACAATTCGTGAGTTACGAAAAACACAAGAAACATTATATTTACAAGGGGTATGTATAATTCAGATGTTGACTGTATGTATTGTTATGCTAGCTGAATAGGATGTTGGTGAAGGAACTTGTATTTAATTGAGGAGAGAGTATCTGTATGAGTAATAGAAGTAAGACAGGATGGTTTATATTGTCACCTTGTTGTGTGATAACATTGTCTGACACACATACCTCTATATCAAAACATCCTACATGTACGTGGCTTTAGAGAATTCATTCAACAGGATTTAATTTATTATATTTTGATTTGATACCCCTGTCCCATTGTTTGAAGGACTTTAAACTTTGTCTTATTGTTAGTGATATTAGAAACATCATTGTGGTACATTTCATGTTCTTCATAGACCTCCCTCTATCTTGCCTACTGAACTCATTCACATTCCCTTTTTCTCTCTCTTTCTCACACACTCTCTCTCTCTCTCTCTCTCACTCTTCTCGAAACCCCTTCTTCTCCTCTCTCAGTCCTTGTACATATTATATCATGCTGTATTTGTACTTCTCATACACCTGTAAGATACACACACTATGTGTAAAGTCATCTATTGTAACATTTGTATATATATATATATATATCGTGCAGCTTTCTTCAAATCGTTTTTTGGAAGCCAGTAGGGCGTTAATTTATATACTTTTGGATCCAAACAAATCTTCTCTTACTCTTTACAGTACTGGGGCCTACAGCTTTACAAGCTTGCTTTCATATACATGTAGGTCCCATCATATTTCTCTTAGTTAAATCATTACTCCATATTGACCACTTATCTTTGTTATTTATTATGTATTATTGAAAAAACAATTTGTATTTTATTAAGGATTGAAGAATTGTTATTCTTTTTATCTACTGGCTAATCTGCTGAAATTTATCACACAGGTTTTTATTCCTTAGTCACACCACCAGACTGAGTCCATACCGACTCCAAACTAACTGATTCTTAGCCGTTTGGGGTAATGTAATTTTGTTTTGGTCTAGTGCCAGTCTGGTGTCAGTCTGGTGTGGGTGTCAGTCTGGTGTGGGTGTCAGTCTGGTGCCGGTCTGGTGTCAGTCTGGTGTGGGTGTCAGTCTGGTGCCGGTCTGTTGTCAATCTGGTGTGGGTGTCAGTCTGGTGCCGGTCTGGTGTCAGTCTGGTGTGGGTCTGGTGTCAGTCTGGTGTGGGTGTCAGTCTGGTGCCGGTCTGGTGTCAGTCTGGTGTGGGTGTCAGTCTGGTGCCGGTCTGGTGTCAGTCTGGTGTTGGTCTGGTGTCAGTCTGGTGTCAGTCTGGTGTCAGTCTGGTGCCGGTCTGGTGTCAGTCTGGTGTGGGTGTCAGTCTGGTGCCGGTCTGGTGTCAGTCTGGTGTGGGTGTCAGTCTGGTGCCGGTCTGGTGTCAGTCTGGTGTTGGTCTGGTGTCAGTCTTGTTGGTGTGACTGGAGTTTTCTGACCCCTGACCCCCCCCCCCCCCCCCTCAACAAACAAAAAATTATAACTAAATTCTCTATTATACAATTTGTCGAAGTTTTATCTTGGCATATGTAATCTTCAAATGGATCTGTTTCCACAATGTAGGTTTTTCTTTAGTTCAAATATTATACATGATGTTATGAAAATAAATGTTATTCCATTTGATATTATGCATTACATTACTGTTTACAACCTGTGTTTTTAAAAAGAGATTTTAAAAGAGATTTATGAAACAGTTAATCAAAATTGCATACAACTAGTTACTATACACTGCACTCTTTCTGCAATGAACTGTAGAGTATTCTTCACTCTCACCTGTGCCTCTGGTTTATGAATCCTAAAATTAGATTGAAAAAAAGACACAAGATAAGATTTTTGGTCATATTTTAGCTTTATTTTGAAATGTCACAATGTTTATAATAGATATCATACAACATTCACCACACTTCTCAAACAAACTTGATAATTCTATCAAGTAGAAAATACAATTGATGTTCAGTCAAAGCAGGTTCCTTACAGAACAATTCAGAGAATAAATCACTGATCGAGATTCAAACAAAGACAAAATTACTTTTAAACATCGCTGCAAATGGTTAGTTATTAACATTTTGAAAAATTAACTTAGCAATGCTTTGTTGAAGTGAATACATGTATAATTTGTGATAAAAATTTGTGCTTTATTTTATATAAAGGCATTTACGATAATGCTTTTATGGTCTACCTTATACTACCGAAAGGTGTTATATGAAATAACAAAAATTAAGGATGTATTCCTTACCTTTTTACTTTTATCATCATCCTATATTCTATATCTTTTATGTAATTTGTTATATTTTTGTTGAATAGTTTGGACTCAAAGTTGATACAACACGCTGTTCTCCTCTGTCATTTAATTATAATCCTGCATTTTAAACAAAATAATTTTTATATCAAAATAATTACCTCATCACAACGCATTATAATAAAATTTTGAATAAACTCCAAGAAAAGCTTTCATTCATAGAATACAAACTGCTTCATTAAATGAAAAAAAATATTTCTATATTAATTGAAATCAGGTGAATAACTACCAAGATCTATGAATTAATCCACTGAATACAAGATTTTGAGGGTAAACAATAGTGATAATACCACAATAGTTAATTACCAAATTAGCATTGTGACTAAACAAAAACATCTGACTCTTCATATATAAATCTATTATCAAAAGAGTAAATATGATTACTGTGGCATAGTGTAAGGTTTGCAATCATTTATTTACAATCAAATATATAGGACAGTATACAACATGGCCAATAGATGCCTCAAAATGGAATACTGATTATGTGGATAAAGATACGTTAGTGTTAAATAATTACATTTGGAGTATGTACAACTTATCTGAAAAAAATCTTTCAACACTCTTACTGTGAACAAATTATGAGAATCAAAACAATTCTTGAAAGAAATATTAGCTGGATGACTTGGTTTGTGTAGAAGAAATAAGAAGGTTAGATGTATTGATTATATCCATTCATCTCATATGAATTTTAGAAGTAAAACCAATGCTTGAATAAATTATCAAAATTAAGAACTAGGCCAAAACCTGCTCAAAATGTAACTATAATCTTACAATTATTCTAAGTATTGAAGTGGAATAGTAGAATGTAAGCTGAATCTACAGATTTATTTTTTAATTTTTAAGATAAATGAATTCAGTAGTGTCATGCTACCCAAATAACAAATATGTTGTCTTTAGTGTTGAAAGTTTGTAAGCAATTTAATGAGCAGAATGTAAGGGAATAACATCAAGTTATATAATTATGAAATTATCATTTACATAAAGATGTTATCTGCTACATTAACACCAGCTGCTTAAGTTTTTTAAATCTACAGTGTATCAGCAAACCCCAAATTATATTAAAAGAGAGGATTTCATCTTGTTGTGCAACAACCTCTACCCCTCCAACCCCCACACACATTCTCTCTCTCTCTCTCTCTCTCTTTCTCTCTCTCCTCTTTCTCTCTCTCTCCTCTTTCTCTTCTGCTCTCTCTCCCTCTCTCTCATACTCTTTCTCTTTCGTTTTCAATTGTTGACCTAAATACTCCATGAGAAAATGATGAGGAAGCAAAACTATGTTTGTGAATATCCTACTGAGATTTTTGATTTTTTCTTTTCTTTTCTTTTCTTCAAAATCAGAAATGTAAACTTGTGGGAAGCCAGCTCAGTTGGTGACAGCTTTCCTTGAATGATAAATAGTGCATGTAGAGATCAGTCTCTTCCCACATTCAATCTTATGCAGAGATACACTAAAACATTAAGACTTTGAACAGCCTGCTCAAAAGCAGCAGATCACTGATGAAATGGTGAAAATTTGACAATTAGTATCCATGGAGATAGAGTTGAATAGTAAGTTGAAAAAAGTTCACCTTGTACATGTTTGTGTAGTGAAATGTTAAGCTAGTTGAAAATCAGAAGGAATGTTTTCTGGTCCAAAATATAATTCCTCCAGTTCTTCTCATTTTATTTCCTTGACCTTAGGATGAGCACAGAGTAAGCGTGTACCCGCAAGATGACCTGTTTGCACCCCATAGCGGTGGTATGAAGCCCCTCTACACACCTAAAGCTCTACCTGCATCCTTCGCACCTTACGGGGCATGCTTAGAAACAACTGGATATAACAGCTTCTTCTACGGAAACCAGGTAGGGTTTACATTATCTTGTTAGCTGGCCCAGATTTTTCCCAGTTATGTGATGTGTCATTCTATGCTGCTAAGTGATTGAAGGCATGGAGTTGAGACCCACATTCCTGATGAAGGTGAGATGGGGGATGTGAATTATATTCTTCACTATTTTTCTGCCGATCGATGCGTGTGAAAGAGTGCATTCAGTTAAGTAAGAAATTTGGTGAAAATTAAATTTTTAATTGATTTATTTATTGAGATGAAAGTAGTATCACACTCATGTTTCACTCCAGTTTACCATGGAATTTGAACCAACATTATATCTATTTACAGAATGGATCATTAACAGGTTCATTTACATATCATAGCAAATGCTACTGTAACAAAGCTTTTTTTGAAATACAGGATATTTTGGCTAATAGCAAGTTGAAGGTAGACAAAAATACTGTATTTACAGGATAGAATACACTCAGCATAAAATGGGAATGAAGACACTTTTACAATTGTTTTTGATTGTTCTGAAATGTCCTGATTATTCCCATGGTCTTAGCATCATTTTAGTTGCCTTGTAGGAGTAGAACGGTGGTCCATCTGTTTCTTTCCATTCAATGCCATCGTCCCACTCTCCACCGTATGTACCATCCTGATAATACAATCCATTGAGATTGGATCTATCACAAGCCTGAAACCACCATCCGCCATGATGTACAACAGCACAGTTTACACCTTCACTATCATCATTGTCTTTATCCGTCGTCGTAAACTTACTCCCGCTGTGATAGGTCAGTGCATCCGTCGCGTTCCCTCCTAGAAACTCCTCGATTGTCATTCTAAAGTCGTTTCTTTTGCTATCCACTTCAAAACCGGAGTAATCAGCGATGTATTTCCTGTTGAACCAGTCCGTCACTTCAACGCGTAGGATGTAGTTATACTGCATGGTGAGGTGGTGAAGGAATTCATTGCCCAGCCAAAACTCAGAGCTGACATTGCCGAACCCTCGTGAGTAGTCGCGCCAGTGACGGTTGAAGTCTTCTGATCCATCCATACGTCTTTGGAAGACTGTCCATCCGTAGCCCTCTTTGTCCATCTCACAGTAGATAGGTAAAGCATCAAACTGACCTCTTGGTTTGATCATATAGACACCACTCACAGCTCGTGGTTCTCTTCGTCGCACTTCATGGCAGTCTAGGGGTGCTGGACCAACTACAGAGAAAAACAAAACAAAAAAATAATAATAATACTTTAAAAATCACTTTCTTTGACAAGCAAATATGAGACAGATCTTCCATCTTTGTTAATTCTAATCATAGAAATATTGGATAATAAGCGTGACAATGAACAATTTTGCTGCATACCTTGCCACTTGTGAGAAATAATGAATACTGAACATCTCTTGATTAAACTTTTTGCAAAATGGCAACATAGTTTATGTTTTCTACTGATGATGAAAACTTTATTTAAAAATATGATTTATTTCTGAAACAAGTTGCCAGAAAGGAAAGCAAGCATATAAAACGTGTAAACTTTATTTTTTGGAAAAAACGGAAAGGGGGTCAAGAAAGGGAAGACCAGATTTTGTTTCCCAAAGCAGCTTTCAGATCATCCCAAAGCAGCGAGTTTAATATCTTTGACATTGTGTGATATTGTGTACATCTGTTAATTGTCATCCTGATATATGAGTCACGTCCATCACAGACACAGTCAGAAATTGTTGCCAACAGATTTTTTATTTCTACGCTTGCAATTCTGTGCCCCTTCTGAAGGAGAGCCATTTTGGTCTATCGCTCTCTTGGTTCGATTTCTTTACATTTCTGATTACTCATAACACTATATGTCTTTTCAACAATATTCTCTGTCTTCTTCAACTTGTTGCTTTTTTCTTGAAGATTGACTATAAAGATTATCTACATTATTTACACCTGTAGGAACTTCAAAGTGGCGCAATATCCTGGGCCACTAATCGTCACAGGAAACTTTGTGGGAAGTTAAGAAATTCCACCTCCAAAATATGAGTTCCTGTTATTAAGAGGAACTTTCTGGTAACGCTCTTATATTATGTTCCAGAAAATAGAACTAAGCTTTCTAAAAATCAACTTTTTAACTTTAATTTTGTATAACTTATTTTCTGTAATTCTAGTTTCTATCACTTAGTTTTCCATTTCTAACTTGCATTTCTTGTTTTCTTATACCAATATCTATTTTTCTTCAGATCTTATATTTGATAGAAATTTTCCAAGAACTGTATTACATATAAAATGAAGTTTCCATTAATTGCTTTCCTTTAAGCTTTAGGGAACTTTGTTTCTCTTATTTTCTTTCTACTAAACTACTTTCATAGAATGAATATTCTGGAACTAGCTGTTATGTGAACCCAGCCACCTATAGACTGTTTGCTGAGCCAGACAATAGTGAGATCATCTCCCCACTGCCCCTCAACTTTTCAGCTTAAATCTATAAAAATGTTGGCGACTAGGATGTGTTTTAATTACCAGTTTCCCGTTGATCTAGGATTGCTATTGAACTGGCAGATATTGTGCACTAGTGTATAGTCATGCATTGTGCTATGATTAATATCACTCATATTCATCTATGATATGTCACACTACACTAATGCTTTTATATCATGTATACATTATAAATGTAACTATGGGTACGTTTTATAATTCTTGGAAATTCTTCAATGGGAGCAGAAATTTAAGATAAAAAAAAAATAGTATTTCGTTATTGGCTCTTCCAATAAACTTTCCCCCATATACTATTTGGTAAGACAAAATGGAAACTTATACAATGTACATGCCAGCACATAAAGCTCCTCCATTTTTGTTTTATTAGAAGAAGAAGAAAAAAAAATAACCCCAAGGATATGAGCACCCTACTTCAGCATTGTCATGAAGCATATGCAGAAAGAAAAATGATTTTCATAATAATAATGTATTTTGTTATATATTCAAATTTATTAGACTGTGTAGCCTTTTATGTTTCATGAGAAGCCTTGGTTTTCTGCATATTAGAAGTGTCTGCAAATGGCTGAGAAGTGAGAAGTATATCCAATTTATTTGAGACATAAGAAGAATGCAATACCTGTTTAAATCTTCATGAAAACTATCCTATCTGAGTGTTTCAAAAACTTACAACCATACCCAGTAGTATCATGTTACATGAATATGAAAGATTAATGCCTACTAATAGGAGGTTTATATATTTTTTTTATTAGATTAATAAAACTTTTCTGAAGTTCAAGTGAAATTTTAAGAATGAGTTAGAAATAGAAGCTATTTCTATTTTATTGCTCCAACTATTAAAGTATAGTTATAAAATCAAATACTACATCCAAAAGTACACTTCCCACGTTTGACATTATTTCAAGAAAGGTTTTTACAGTATATGTTTTTTGTAATTGCTGTGACAATATTTTCATTTGAAAACAACAAGTGATTTGTCGATGTGTGACTTATAGCTAGCTGTTAGAAGCAACACATTTGTTCAGCTCTTAGGGGATTCTTTTTCAAGTTCAAGCTTGGCTCTCATGGGAATGATGTTGATTGAATGATTTTTTAGCTTCACACAACATTTGACTGTAACCATGAAGTTACGTGACCGTTCCATTTATTCTAGCCACTCTTCATAATTGTTGGGACAATATCTCAGTTAAAAACAACAAGTGATTTGTCGATGTCTGACTTAGCTAGCTGTTAGAAGCAACACATTTGTTCAGCTCTTAGGGGATTCCTTTTCATGTTCAAGCTTGGCTCTCATGGGAATGATGGTGATTGAATGGATTTTTAGCTTCACACAACATTTGTTTGTAACCGCTAAGTTACGTGACTGTTCCCTTAGTATAGCTTGTTGTTTTATTTCAAACACTGTGTGATGCAGTAATCTAGTCTTTGAACTTGCTTCTTTTTTTTCCTTTTTTGGGTTTTGTGTTAGAAAGACATTTCAGAAGCATATTAAAATACAATATCCAAATCAAATTTCTTTCAGTGTTGTTCAGCTTTTTCTTTTTTCTTCATCACTCAACTTTTTATTTAAAAGTTGAATTGTTATTTTGAAGCAATCTTGCCATAGTTTTCCATGTACAGAAGAAAGTGCAGTGCAATTTCAAAAGTAGCAAATGGGCAACAAAATCTTTTCTTTTCAACCCATTTAAGACTTATCTGGAGAAGTTTAGGGTTGTATAATTGATAAAGAAGCATGAATATTTCTGATGGGTTGATAAGAACGTTAATACTTTAGAGGCAGCCCCCTTGTCATGCATGTTAGATCAGAATTATATTAATTATTTGACCTACCTATTCTATGGATTGATGTAGTATCTGAGTAAGTTCCCTCTCTGGTTTCCAAAGTGATGATTTGTTGTTGTTTAAGTTCATCCATCTCCTGTTGTAGTCTGTTGAGTTTATCTACTACCAGGTCCAGAATGGTCTGAGTTCCAACCTGATAGACTGTGTTAGAGAGATCATGTGGTGTTCTATCTGCTGGTCGAGCCTTACAGATAGCTGAGAGTAACACCAGGAAGGCTACTGGTAGGAGCTGTGTTCTATTCATCCTCAATCTCATCCACCTGTAAAATACAACAAAATAAAAATTTAAAGAGTCAAACATTTGATAAGAATAAACCATCTCTCTCCGAAAAAACCCTGATATCTTAACATAGTTGTGTATCATTTAATGAACAAACAAATGTATAAAAAGATTTCTTCAACTTTTGGAGATTAAAAAAAGTCAACAGTTTGTTCATGATAACCCTTTTTCTAATTTCCAGCAATCTTTTAGGGTTTTCCATAGCATAGTTACTTGCCACTCTCATAGGTATTCTATTCTTTATTTTGTTAACCCCTTGAATAATGTAATCATATTGAAAGGGGGACACAACCATATCATCTCTGTTCATCTCTGAACCATTGTCCAGGACAAGTCTTGTACAGAAGTGAGATTTGAATGGTAGATGAAAGAATGATACTCATTTTTTATTCAGCGCAGGATTATAACATTTGTTTTGAAGTCCTTATAACAAAAATTCATTGGCATATAATATTGTATCAACAGAAAAGAAATTGAATTTGTCATCACTATTTTCATTAAGTGCATCTATTCCCTGATATGGGTTATTACTTAATGGTTATGTAAATTATTTGATTAAAAAAAAGTCATATCACTTAATGGAAAACACCCTGAAAGGCTAACTGAAAACATTTTGAATTCATGATAAAGTAATGTATTCAACTGCAAAGTTTGAGTTATTAACTTTATATAATTAAAGCCGTACTGTCCTACTTGTAGCTACTTGCTGAGCTGAGTTGATGAGATAGCCACCTGTCAGTGACCTCGCTGTGTGGTCTAATCCCTCCTAGCCACACTAGTGTTGATAAGCTTTAAGGTTATATTGTGAATTTCTGATTGAAATATCTTATTCACAATTTTGTCTATAATAATATGAAAATGTATTGTTTCTATTCACAATCTGCTTGAGCAATATTTGTTTTTGAAAGTTGGCTTTAGGCTTTGAATGGAATGAATGGCATTGAATTAGGAAAGAATTTGATTACGTTGAATATCCTTAAATTGTATTAAAATTTTTAAAGGACAGCCAAGTGATCGAATCATGACATTGATAAGCGTGCATAATATGAAAGTGACATCTCCCTGTTAACATGTCAAATCATATTATAATTTCACATTCCTATCTTTTTAAGGAGAGACAATCGAGTAGAGAGATTTAAAATAATCAAAGTGTAGCTGATAAAGACATGGACAACAGATATTTTTTATCTTAACTGTATATTTATATAGTAACAGTAACAGAATAACTAACAAAGAAATATAGATATGAACTTTAAACTATACATTTTTTGCAACCTAAAGTAATTTATTTAATATGGTAGATAATATAATAAATGTCTTTATTCTTGGAAAGGCTTACCAGTAATAATAAAAGATCAAAAGTAAATAATCGAAAGAAAAAAATCTCATAAATAAAAAGTGGTCCAAATTATCTAAGAGAATCAGAAAGAGAGTTTGAATTTATAAAAAAGAACATAGAGTAAAGGAGCCCGTAATCGGCCAGCTCCAGTTTTCGGCCGATTGGTTGGATGCAAGGTGAAATCACTCTAAAATACATCGCATACTAATAGCATAACACATATCCCACACATACCATACCATGCCAGTGTCACTGAAGAACCACATTTGCAATGGAAAATATATCCTAAAATATCACATTTTAGCGATGTAATCGCCGGTCCCGCTACCCAAATCTGAAAAATCGAGTATCTTACGCGTGTCTGTAAGAAATATGGGTACCATAAAATGAGCTTTATTTCAAGTATTTTTCAGATTTAAAGCCCGATTTTGTGCTAGTCGCAAGCTTAAAAGTATCTCATCGCATGTATTAAATCAATGCAGCCGCACACCGCGACGCACACACGATATCTCTGTCTAATTCAGATTCCAACTTCCGATCACCGCTGTGCCCGTCTTCGGCCAGGCGAGCACCAGGGAGCTCCGGCGTGGGATCCTGCTCCGCCCGGCTGTGCTGTACATCAGCGCGGAAACGCACGGCGCGCGCGAGCGCTTCCTATTGACTTTGTACATGCGGCCGTAAACTGAAACGCTCGGCCGATAACGGGCTCCAAAACAGTGAAAATTGAAATGAATATTGTCATGGCAATTCGTGATTTTTTTTTGTTTAAATAATAATAATATTTGCTTCATGATTTGAACAAGAAATGATAATAAATAGGAAGTAAAGAGTCCTAAAAATAGGATTTTGTCTTAAGTGGCCGAAAACGGGCTCCTGTACTCTACTATGTATTAAAAGAAAAAGAAAAAAAAAAGAAACCATAAAAAATATCCAGTATCCCAAAAATAGACTCTTATTATGTTCAAGGGAGAAAATGGAATCACATAATGGAGACAACATACATTAAAGAAAAAGAAAAAAACATAAGGGTGTATTGGAACCATGTGGAGGTGTAGATATAAACCTGAAGACTCTTTCAGAGAAATGTTAATTTGTATTTTGCATCATCGATGACCAAACAAAAATAGCACTTTCAGCAAGATAGCATTGGTGAAGACCGAAGAGAGAAATCGTCTCAGCTCTGTGGGTTATTACAGGTGTAAGATATGGGCAGTCTATCTCATTCATTAGCAATTATGATCTATAGTGTCAGGTCGGGTGATGAAAGTAACAGTGCATGCTGGGAAGCATGTGTGGCTGTGGTTTCACCCATGCGGGTACGGCGAGGGAGCCACACATCATTATGAAAGGAAATAATTGATAACACCCCAACTGTATCCCCGCTTAAGAAGAATATACCTACCCGTACCCAAAAATGGATATGTGTATGTATATTAAGATACACTAACAGGTGCAGTTTGGATTGTTATTCAAGTTATAAGTATAAATAGAGGAACAGTCGTCTTAAATATGAGTATAGTTTGCATTATTGAAATTTGATAGTTTAATACAGCGACCTGTGACAATTAGGTGAGCAGCTGTAAGTACATGTACAATCTTTTAGGCCTTAACACATCATTTTTAGGGATAGAAGTTTGTAAATTTCCTGTTCATTTCCTGTAAAATATAGCATGCTTTATCACTTTAGCAATAATATAGCTATGAGTTGAGCAAATTATTTGAAAATTATGCTTGTCTTGGCCATATGCATAACACATGTTTATATAATGTCATTATGGGCATTTTTCTTCTGATTTTGAATGTGTTTTTTAGTTTGTTTTAGTCTTGGTGGTACATAAAACCCATCCAACGCAGACATGATAACCTGTTCATGTTTATTATTTGTAGTTACTACATGTAGAACTTCACCTAAGCTTTAAACAAATTCAATACTACAATTTGCCAGCATGATCTATATAAATTATACAAAATATCATAATTTCCAATTATTTTTTATGTATGAAAATAGGTAAAAAGTTTTCAAAATATGTGTATATACTGCATATATTTATAAGAATTATCTTTCCAATTTTTTTTTTCACTTTGGCTAGATATAAAAGGTATCTGAGTCGTGATATAAGGTTTTCAGGCCTGATAAAAACCTGACTTACATCGGTTTCCAGATTTTGTTGATTTTTTCCTGATTTTTTTTTCTTCCCTATTTTATCCTGATTTTCCCGATTCCCCCCTTATTTTATCTATTCTTCCCTATATTGCCCTATTTTCCCCCAAATTTTCCCCAAATTTTCTTACTGGAAAGGGGGGAATGTAGTTAGATGCCATTTTTCCCTGCGAAACTTTTTTTTTTTTTTTTAGTGCTCACTATCACCCCTGGGTTCTATTAACTCTGTCTATAGAAATCGTCTTTTTATTGTAACTGTAAGGGAATATTTAATGCTTGCGGTGGTTATTCATTTAAAGCATAATGAATGTAGTGATATTATTGCATGGCTTTAACTATTTGAAAAACAAAACATTTGATTACAAGTATCACTTTGTAGTTTCAGGAGCATTACTAATTTGAACAGGTAATTATTAGCGTGAATTAAACAAAGGTTTATATCCTGTTCTAAAATAGGGAGAACACATGATCTGTCAAGGAAATAATCATTAAACAATTAGCTATTATAATGTTCAGGATCAATTCATTGTGTCATTGTGGTGTAAGCTTTATTTGCAAACAGTTTGGAAAGGAAGAGAAAATTATTAGAACATGCTTTTTCAAAATATAGATGACTCATTTCTGTTGATGTAGGGAATGGCATTTAAGAACTTTTTTTGTGTGTGATAAAAGTTCATAAATATGGATAGTTGAGTATATTCAAATTAACCTGTACATGTATCTACTTCAGTTACCAACATCGGTAGCAATCAATGTTCCACATGCAGTAATATTGAACAAATCCATGAAATTTACAGTATGTTTTTCTCATGGTCATGCTAGCACTTTTTGCTTCTTATTTAAAGCAAGATTTCTTATCTTTATCATGCATCAGATTAAAAATACAGTGCATTTGTGTAGTAGGCCAAATAAAGCTATTTCTTTCATATTAATACCTAAAACCTTATCATTTAAATGCAAGGTATTTGTAGAAAAAGTCTCAAAAAGTTACAAAAATATATATATATATATATTTGCTCATTCTTTTTTAATATAACTGTATCCAGAACACAAACCATTTGGAGTGCCTGCATTTCCAAGAAATCATAGACTTAATGAATTTCTTACATATAAAATCATTTCTGAACATACAGTTTTATCAATGAGATTTTTTTACATGTTTGATAAATCCCCCGAAACAAGTACTGATAATTCCCATAATTGCCATAAGAGAGAGAGAGAGAGAGAGAGAGCAATCTATTTAATGAAAACATTTGGTTGTTTTGATCAGAGGGATTACCAATGTATTTTATTGTCCTTTCATGACTTTGAAACTTAATATGAAAACCAATAATGGATTTGTTTTTGGACAAACTAAAGAAAATGAAACAAGAAAAGAAGGGAAAAAAATATATATATATATATCTTTACCAAACTTTTTACATTGATGAAAACTGTGTATTACCTTTAGCTTTTCAACAACAAAATGATAGCGTTTGGCAAGTTGTTACTGAGGAAATGTATTTCGAATATTCAAAACAATTGTGTAAGATATAACACATGTCTATGAGAAAGAGTAACAAGCTATATATTCAAATGACATATAATTTTGAACTGCTTGTGTTAATAATATACTTTTTTCCCTAACTTTTTAAAGAGATAATTGGTAATGACAATGTCTGTTTGGAGCCAGAACAGGATTAACTCATATATACTTTAATACAGAGTAAACGCCCTTCTGTCTCTAAACAAACAATAAGCACCATTGAATATGGTTCAGATGGCACCATCAGAGCTGCCAACCATTCCGTGTTTGCCGGAATTACTCCGTTTTTTTCCTCCAAATTACGGTACTACGTTTTTTCTTCATAAAATACGTTTTTTAATAAATTTTTAAATTTTTTTTTTTTAATTTAAATTTTTTTTTTTTTTTTTTTTACGTACCACATGTCAAACAACTGCCTTTAAATGGTGATTTGATCACGAATTCAATAGAAAACTTATTTTAAAACATACTTGAAGAGAAAATATTCTCAAAAGAAAATAAATGCCGATAATACCAAAATAACCACCAAAAAAATTACCTGCTTGTATGGAAAAAACAGCATGATGAATGAACATTTCTGCATTGGAAGTGTGTGGCGCGTGGTTGTAAGGTTCTTTTCATGAATTTCTTTTTTTGGCTTGAAATTCCTTTTTTTTTGCCATCATGATTCCTTTTTTTGGTCGCACAAGGTTGGCAGCTCTGCACCATGTACTTCTTAGGAAAGTTATAAGTTTATCTAGCTATCCAAGAAATAAATCAAACTGAATAATCAATAATCAAGGATCTCAGGCAGCTTTCTGAAAATGACAGGATCAGGAAATAGTATTCATCTTTTGTTTTGGGGCTGACTTCTCTTTGATTGGAGAATAGCGTTGAAAAGAGCCATAACTAAAGCTCTTTGACTCGCACTCATCAGAGTCACACGCAAGAATGAAACAGAAAGCCGAAATCGATGATAGTGATGAGTGCAAGTCAAAAACCTTTAGTTATGGCTCTTTTCAACGCTATTCTCCGATTTTGTAGTACCAATCATCTTCTCTTTGATTGTAAGCAACTGAAATACTTGTGCTTTGATTAAGGAATGAACCCTCCATGGGCAGTGTTGTAAAAAGCAGTTGAATAAAGAATACCTCTGATTTAATACACCTTCCATGGATTCCAGCTAAAGGTATCTCTTATGTTTCTGTTCTTCAAGTTAAAGATGAAGTTGAGTTCTGCATGGTCATACGATTGCATTGTGAAAGAAACGATGTGGAATCGACCAGAAAAGGTTGATCATCTATCATATAAGAATTTGTGTGTATTGCAAGGTTCTGGAATCATCAAAATTATAAGAAATTTGGCCAAGTCTTGGTAAAGTTAAAAACACTGTACACAGAAAGATGTATGTGGAACTACACAAACACGTGGCGTAAAAATCCGGGTAGAATTTTTACGATGTTACATGACATATTCAGAATATGAAGGCATTCGAAGAGCCATGCTTTTCAGGGAACATGTCTTATCTGATGTTCTTCCACACTTGCATAATAAGAATGAAAACGCTCACAAATTATTTTTCACCTCTTCCCAGAACTCAACATTCTCTTTAAAGAACATCTAGTGCTTTCAGTTTTCATTTGAGTTTCAGTTGTTATACACTCACACATTTTTTAGCAACATCATGTTTTTGTTCATGATATCAAAGAATAGAACATGCAAAGGGGAAGTCAGATTAGCATAAAGGAAGTGCTATTTATAACTTTAAATCTAATCCCATCTTCTTATGACCTTTTTTAAAACTAAAGATAGCAAAGATTGATCCGCTCTTTGCCTGTTCACACTATGGACATTCATACAAAACTCGTGTAAAGAAACGTTGTATAAAGATACACCGTATAAAGACATGCCGGATAAAGAGTGATCGTGTAAAGAGACGCCGTGTGAAGAAGCATCATATCAACAAACTGGTTTTGATGAGTTCAGTTGACATGACAGCCGGCCATGCAATCATCAGTGCGTGCTCGCGAATAAGCCCCGCCCAGTTACACGATTTGCGTTCAATGGGACATTTAAACTAGAGCGGGATCCTGATTCTTCATTCAGTTTTCTTCTTCTTAAATGCTGCCCAAACATGCCTTTTGTTATATGACGTTTTGTTATACGATGCTCAGACTAGAAAAAAAACGATAATTACATATAGTGTAGGTATACAATTCTCATGAAGCTAAACCTTGAATACGTAGTCTGGATGCAGGCTCTTTACTCAATCTAACTTGTGCCAACTGAAAGACAGTTGCATGGCATTTAAAGCGTGTTAATGATCTGTAAAATGAACTTTAAATGGCAGCAAAATCTGTCAAGTATACGAATATGGTTCAATTATGGTAGTGAAGTATTTGTAGTTTTTGAGACAAGAGGTTTGAAATATCCTTCAATAATTCCAAGATTTTGAAGCTGAAAGCAGCAAATGCTCTGACCACTTGCCTGTAATATCCAGGGGAGAAAACTTCAACTAAAAAATCACAAGTAATCCACTGATATTTCTCCAAATTCAAGGCACCACGATATGAAATTTAGTCTGTAAGTCAAAGAGTAATACAAAGATGTGGAGTAGTCCTGCCTTGTTCAGAAAGGCAATATATTTATTGGGTAGATGAGCAGAAATAAATCCAAAGTGCCCAGATTGGCACAAAGTATGTAAGAATCCAATGATCTTAGAACGGAGGTTTGGTAGTCGCAAGTGAGCCGTGTTAATATCTCAGCCTAACCACGCACATCTAAAATTATACATGTGCCCTTTTAGAAAAGACAACTCAAATCGGGAGCTTCCATGGAGAGAGAAAGAGAGAGAGAGAGAGTGGGTGCAGGTGACTTCACAAAGTATATGTCCCACCCACTTTCTGCCCACCATTCAAACCATCACTTCCTCCACATAAGCTCCGCCTCTTTAATTATTCTCACCAGGCCTTGCCCCTTCTCGTAGACCATACTCACAGGTGATTGGCCAATACTTTATACTTAGAGTACATGCATATTCATAAGTGTGAAACTTTTGTAGTAGGTTGTGCATGTGTGTGTGCGTTTAGCTATTTTACACTGAGATGATTTTGGGTGTTCATTTGTGTGTATGAGAAGTGTGTTCGACCAATGGTCAATTGATTTAGGATCTAAGCATGGGTGATTCATTGCTTGGTTTTCTGATGGGGTATTTTATTGAAGAACTAGAATTTCCCAGAAAGTGTTCATCTAAACTCTTTCATGAATAATTCATAAGCTACTATTGCTGTGGGAGCGAATCATGACAGTGAATTGCTCATGTATATTCATGAATTATACTTTGCACCTGTCTTGGTGGACCATGCATATTTTAATTCCTAACTATCTCCATTATTCATAAATCCAGCATAATTATTGTATAAAGCAAGTCATGATTCCTGTAAAGTGATATTTCATCCTATTTAAGGATTCTTTGTACCAAAAAGGAAAGTCGGTTGAAGTTGATGGATAATTTTTTAGTCTAAACTGGTTTTATGACTAAATGATTTTAACCCCCACCCCACATTAGTATGATATCCAAATATATAGTTTTTCTTACTTCCGGAAAGCGCTTTATTTTCAGCGAAGTTATAGGCTGGTGTTATTATATTCACTAAATGACATACCGGTAGTAGAGACACGGTTTCAGTTTTCTGAGCTATTCTAGTCTCTCAAGGATAAGAAAAGTATATAGTAAGGCCTGATATACCTTTTACAAATCATATTTTGTTTCAATCGTTCTAATAGTTGTGAGTAATGTTGAAGGGGAATCTTCCAGAAGGGATACTGTCTGTATTACAATCCACAAGCATGGTAGAAATAGAGGGCTAAGTTGATACAATTGTATGTATTAATCATCGAGGCCCCCTGCTGGTGATAATTAGAGAGAAGGTCAGTCACAGGAAACCCAACGTCCTGTGATGTCATGCCAATTGTCATTCTCGTTTTACCGAGCACAGATTCTCACCCAGGCCTCCCGTCTCTGGCCTAGCTACCAGGGCTTCTAGGAGCGTGTACATGATACACTCAGGCTAGGGAATGCACAGGCAGGCTTAGCATGGTATTGGCAGCGAATTAACAGTCATTATCTCTTCTTTCCTTTGGGGAGTGCGGTTTAAAGAAATTCTATGTTGCCAGTCATCTGGGGGATTAAAATGAAATGTACAGTAGAGGTCAAAGGGGTCATTATAGAAACAAGACATACAAGTGGGAGGCTAAAGGGCCTGCAGCTACTCTAGACATTTTCACCTTTTCAATGTTTGGGCAGCTATTACCTTAATATGTTGGGGCAACAAGATTTCAACTGATACCTCTTTTATGCCAAATTGAGTTAATACTATAACGATTTGCATCACCAGCAGCTGTCACAGTCATGAAAACTCTCAATGGACACTCATCTGCTAAACTTAAGAAACTAAAAAGTTTATATAACTGAAATAAGAGAGGACCACCCCTCCCCTCCCAATAGACTGTAGTGTTATGAAAACCATTAGGAAAACGCAAAATTTGATTTCAATTTCCAATCATAAATATCTTGATAATCAGACAGGCAATCAGGTTGTAAAAGTCATGGGGTTCCTGAGTGACCTAAAGGTTTATAATTATCATTGCAGCATGAGCTATTTATTCGGCAAAAGATTTAAAAAAAATTAAAAAAATGAAATCATTACAAATGAAATCATTATACATGTAAATACCAAGATTGCTAAAATAAGTTAAAAACTTGTAAACAAGCAACCCCAAACATAAAAACATACTGTACAGATACAATACAATACAAAACAAAAAGATAAAATATGATACAATACAATACAATACAATACAGTACTAATAATGTTACATACTAACAAAATATATGAATCAATTATGTATTTCAATAAATCAGTGAGTGGCAAGTATTGTTCTTTTCAGTTTAAGTTTAAATGTGTTGTGGTTCTTAACACCCTTTAAATGACTTAACTTGGAGTTCCATTTATGAGGACCTTGATATCTAATTGATTTATTTTGCAAAAATGAGTTAGTGAATTTAGGTAGAAGGAAGTCATTCTTTTTTCTCGTAAATGAGTGGTCATCCAAGTTCAAATGAAAACTGTCATAAAACGTTACTGGTAACATATCATTTTTGAGTTTGTACATAAATAATGAAGTCCCTTGAGAAAGAATATCTGAAAGTTTGAGTAAATTTAAGGATTTAAGCAATGGAGAGGTGTGCGCCCTGAAGGAAGCGTTGCAGCACAACCGAACAGCCCGCTTTTGAAGTATGATAAGGGGCTCTAATAATTTATTAAACGTTCTCGCCCACCCGAAATTACAATACATTAGGTAGGGATATATGAGTGTATAGTATAAAGAAAGCATGGTAGAGGATGGTAGAAAACTTCTTAACTTACTCATAACACCGACTTGAGATCGAATCTTCTTGGAAATTAATTCAATGTGTTTTCCCATGTGAGTTTATTGTCAATGGCAAATCCTAAAAAAATTGCAAATTGTACCTGGTCAATACAGTTACCATCTATTGTCAGATTAACATTTTCAATTAAAGTATCATTTTTGTTGCCAAAGTTAAATATCATGAACTTTGTTTTGGTCTGATTAATTTTTAGTTTATTTGCGAGAAAACCAACTAGCAGCCTTTTGAAGTTCAACATTGGCTTCAAAAAATTAAGTCATTCAAGTTTTTACCAGAATAGAAGATGTTTGTGTCATCGGCATACAGTACATAATGTAATTTCTTTGAAGACTCAACAATGTCGTTTAGGAAGAGCAAAAATAATAATGGGCCCAAGATACTACCTTGAGGAACACCTTGCTTCATTAATAGCAATTCAGAGTCAGATTCATTATATTTTACAAATTGTGTTCTATTAGACAGATATTACTTTGGAACCATTCCAATGGAATGCCTCTAATTCCATAAAAACTTCGTTTTCTTCATAAGATTTTGTGATCCAAACAATCGAATGCCTTGCTAAGGTCTACATACACTCCTAAACCTATCTCTTTCTTTTCATAAAATTTGTACAAAAGTTTGGAAGCAAAAAGTAAAGCTGACTCCATTGAATAACATTTTCGAAACCCAAACTGTTCCGAAAAAATAATTGAATGCTTATGAAGGAAAGTAAGAACGAAAGCAATGATGTTGGGCGATAGTTCGATAAACCATGTATATTACCTTTCTTAAACAAAGGAATGACTTTTGAAACTTTCATTGATTCTGGAAATGATCCAGACATAAATGATAAATTAAACACATGGGTTAAAATAAGAAATTCACTTCTTAATAACGTATGGTGACATATCATCAACCCCACATGAGTGTTTATTTTTCAAGGAAGAATATAACTTCAAGATCTCATTTTGATCTGTTGGTGAAAGAATCAAAGAATGTGTTACGCTGGTTTTCAAATAGTCAAAAAAGCATCCAATGGTCTGGGGATTATCAAAACAACCAGCATTAACGAAAAACAAGTTAAATGCATTTGCAATTGCTTTTGGTTCAGTAAGCCTTACACCATCTTTACGAATGAATGAGGGTAATTTTGATTTACTATCTTTACCAAGCAGGTTGTTCAGAGTTTTCCAAGTGTTCTTTTAATCATGGCGATTTGATTCAAGCTTTTCAGCAAAGTAGTTCTTTTTGGAGACACATATAATGTGAGTAAGTCTATTTCTGAAAGATGTATACTTTTCTTCACGGAGGGGGTTTTCAGTTTTAAATACTGCTTATACAAGCGTTCCTTTCTACCAATGGATTTAAGAATGCCTTTTTTAATCCAGGGTTTTCTTGATGATCTACGTCTATCCTTACCAAATATTGTTTTTGAATGCTTTGAAATCATCTTTTAAAAATCTTGAATAAAGGTATCGTTAGCTTTGTTGACATTGGTTTTGGATGTTACCAAAGATCAATCATACAATGCTAAATCTTCACACAATGAGTTTAAGTCCATTCAGTGTTTAACTTGATTCGCATTGTTCCTCTTCAAATGGGTGTGGTAATTTGATGGTAAAGAGTTCGTTACTTGAAAGATGGGAAAGTGATCAGACAAATCTGAATACATGATTGGCTTATTCAATACGTTTGTAAAGATATTATCAATACAAGTTGATGAGTTAGTTGTTACATGAGTTGGTTTCGTGATAAGTGGGAGAAAAGAGGAGGAGTACATTGTATCGATAAATGCATTGGTATCCGAATGAAGGGCGTAACTAAGTAAATCAAAGTTTAAGTCTCCAGCAATATAGCATTGTTTATTCTCTTTGTTAACTTTACCAAGACATTCTCCAAGATGGTCATTAAACTCTGCACTACAAGTATCAGGAGATTTGTATACAGTTCCAACGATTAAATTCTTCCCTTCCTTTAGGATTTCGATGAAAACAGTATCAATATTTGAAGTACAAAAATCCAAATCCATCCCTGGTTTGAAGGTGACATTGTCCCTGATGTACATACACACATCCTGCCTACACGACCAATTCTATGTTTTTGAATAAGTTTGCAATTAGGCAAACTATAAAACGAATGTGGGTCTCCCTTAAACCAGGTTTCCGTAAATGTGTATATTGTGAAATCGTGGTGAAGTGTACATGTACATGTATGTAATCTTGAACATGAGAAAACTTTGATATAAGACTTGGAGCATTCAAGTGGAAAAATCAAAATTGACCTTCTGATTTTCTATTATTAATGTTAACATTGAAGGTGTCATTGAAATAATAATTACAATAAAAAATATGGTCATCTAATAGGGAACTCATCACTTCATTCAGGGAGAAAATATCAAATTGTAAATCATCATGTCATTAAGAAAGTTTTTGACTT